ACGATAAGCTACCACAAACAATATTAACGTAACAATTAATAATCTGTATAAAATAATATATGTATTCATATATTGTATTTGGATATCCATGTATTACATTATATACATTTAATATATCCAATTCTATCAAAGTTACAACAAAAATATCATTTATATTCACTAGTCTTGAAATCTTGTTTTTATTTATATTATCCCGATCATTATACAATGTAAGAAAAGAAATCGCCATGAAAATACAATTATTATAAATACTACAGAAACAATATGTATTAGAATAACTACAGTAGTATAATATTCTCAAGTGTATATATAGAATATTGACTGCGAACGGACACAAAAATACGCAACGTGTGTTTTAAAACTGCATGTTTTTATTGTTTCATTTGTTACATAAAATGACGTTAAAAATATAATTATATCTATGCCAATTGAGCGTATTCATTTGTCAACAAAAAACCCTTTTTTACAGAAGATACTCGGATTATGAAACGTTGACTTAGCTGCGCCCAGCTTTCAGTAAATTTCATAATAATATATCGCATAGAGCATTTATGCGACAAATAATGGCACACTATGACAAAAAGAGTAGCGTTTACAAAACACAAAAAGCACCACGTTGTGATTATCAATGGACCTAAACACAACGACGTGTTGTGTGTACGATTCCGTAATCCGGAAATGTTCTAAACGCGCCCCATTAGTGCCTAGCACGTGCCCCTAAAGTAAAACCGTTATTTAAAATCACAGCTGTCCTTTGATCGTTTTAAATAAAAAAACAATAACAGATATTATATACGTTTATAGTTATATTAAATAAATAAGGGTATACCTATGCTCATTTTCATCGTTAAGGATATTGAGATCAATATTGGGATAATAATACAAATCCATGCGCTTTTATTTATAAATACTTCTTGGCCTTCGGTAAGTACTTCAATAAAAGTTTTGTCTGACGTAGTCAATTGATGGGAAATTAAACACAAAAAATATATTATATACTTTGACTGGCAAAATTAAAAATTCCAAACATTTTTCAATAAAACTTTAAAAACCTAAGAATTTAAGTTTTTTACTTCTTTACATTAAAACTTCTTTCATTTTGTTTTTCGGTCAACGAAAACAACACACCAAAAATACAAGGCAAATATCCATTATGGAAATCTTTGACAGGAATTTTTTTTTTTTTTTAATTAACATTATCAAGCAGTTTTAATAAATATTACAGTAACATTTTTCTTAATTCTATTTGACTATATTTCAACTTATGTGAAAATTATTCAAATTCAGTTTTAAATACCAATACAATTTTTTCCAAATTATAATATTTAAAAATACACTACAATTTTTTTCTGCAGTATTCAATCATCCAATTTTAAACCATCTAACTATTATTCTCTAAAATTGGATGTTGTCTATAAAATTAAACTAGTAAACATAATATAATTTCTTATTTTAATAATAATAGCTTTTAATTTCAGAAATAACTATTTGAAAATGGAAATAGTTATAAAAGTAAAATTAATTACCCAACTACACTATTAACTATTAAATATGCAATATTTTAATGTATTAATAATACCATGGTAAAGCAAAATCGAAAATAATGGTACTTAAATATTTTAAATTCATATAAATAGTTACAGTACAAGAACAGTATAGTTATAAATTGTATTATCTTGAGTAAGATTATAAAATAAATAAATAAAATTAATTATTAAATAATAAATTTAATTTTATATTTTGGTTTTTAATAAGACTAATTCAAAAAATATTAAATCTAAATTATTAATTACTATCCTCTACTTATATCTAAATATAATGACAGACATTGATAACATATATTCTTTCAGGTGTTATAAGTTATCTAATTATATAATTAGACACACTCATCGACGATTTCCGTACTCAAACTATACACGAAATGATCCCGTAATGTTTAAAAATTCGATACACAGGTGTTAAGAGGGTAAAAATATTGTTTGGATTCACTCTCCCAGAAAAAACCGATTAAAAGAACAGCCAATGTGAGCCCTTATCCAGTGAGCCGTTATAAAAATATAAAATAAAAAATAAAATATAATAAAATAAAAATATATAATATAATAAAATAAAATATAAAAATGGAAGAAAAAAATGTATCAGAAATTATTGATATGATATGATTTCCAGAATATTCGAGGAATTTATTCAATTTATGTAAATGCATCAGACATAATGCGAAAATCTATATAATAATACATTAATAACCAAGTATACAATATACTTGTATCTATGTATCTATCTATATATAACATTTTTTTAATGCAACAAATACATTTTAATCCTATTAAAATTTCACAAAAAATATTATTGTTTTTGTTGTGTACACTATATGTCGTTTGATAACCAAAGTGTAACTAACCACATTAACGTAAATAAAAAAAAAATGGTACAGTCGAACTTAGTTATCTCAAACTTCTTTAATTCGAAATCGTCGATACCTCGAACTTTTACTCCGGTCCCTAGAATTTCCTATTCAAACAATGTAAAACAATCTTGTTTAACTCGAATATTTTCGTGGATAACTCGAAGTTTTGAGCACATTTACAAGCACGGATGCATATTAATGAATTAAGGCGATTTATCGAAAACAAAGAAGAGGTCAGTGATGAACTTTTCGAAGCTTTGAATAAAATAGAACGATTTACTACAAACGCTACAATCAACAGCAAAATCAAACAAAAATAAATACCTTTTTTAAATAATTTTTTAACCTCATTTTTGTTTATATGTACATACATTACCTACCTTTTTAAAATTACATATACATACATACATATAAAAACATAGTAACTAATTTTTATTGCACATTACATATTTTATTTATAATAAACACAGGAATTAATGTACAATACTGTTTTAAAATTTTTTTTCGGATAACTCAAACTTTTACTCCGGTCCTTTCAACTTCGAGTAAACCAAGTTCGACTGTATAACAAATCATCAGTTTCTTCTCAAGAACTGTAAATTAATTAACGCCCAAATGTAATGTTTATAATGACATTTATAGGAGGGTTAAACTTCATTACATTCATGTATTTTTCTAGTATGATATAAAAATAAATAACAAATATTTAAATAAAAAGAAAAGCCACGGAGGACAACTGCCCCAATTGCCCCGGGATGTTCAATTCTATAAGGTTAGACTATAAGTGTTTTGAAATATTACAATAGTTCTAGTATAAATTCTTAATTTAAAATAAAATAAAATGACAACATTTACCAATTTAATATAAATATAAATTATACAACCCTCGTTCACGCATATTTGTTTTTGTTTCGGTCACTATCAGATGGTAACTTGACTTACCTATATTAATAAGGTACAACTTTAAAACTCTATACAGAGTCAATTTATTAAAGCGATTTACGTTTGCAATGTTCATAATTTTAAATTTCTAATCGGGCGTAGTAGCTCTATGATAATGTAATTATAGTTGAATAACAATAAAATCAACGTTTAATAGAATTTTGGTCGTTTTTATTTTTGAACGTTTAATAGAATTTTATTAGAATTTTTGGTTTAAAATTATTTAATTTTTAATAGAATGCATTTACTCTGTATACATAATAATATAATATGATTAATTAAAGTGAATATTAACAACAAAGTATTGACAACTATAACCTGCAATTCATTTAACCTGTTCGAACAATTCTCACATACTTAGAAATTAAACTACCCACACCATATCAATATTTATCGTCTAGTTTACAATGTAATAAAGTGTCCATTGTACCTCCCAAGAATTCAATATCAAAATAAATGAAATTGCTTAATAACGCAGTATGGGCGTGCGTGTATCTTGCACTCGTATCTTAGAACTGTCAAAACGAAATGTAAGCCGATCAAGGCACCTGTATCATCGTACATCTTAATAACTGAAACATTATTACATTTACAATATACGATATATTTTGTTTTAGAGCTATTTATTTTTAATGTACTAAAACCGAATTAACACGTTATTGAACTGTACGATTAATTTACGAAAAAAAATGTTTAACGACGAAATTCAACTAGAACTATTTGGAAAATTACCTAATCGTTGTACATGATAAACCCGTTTAAACGTAAAATACATTTGCCTATAAAATCATGTATAATTTTAAATCAAAAGTGAATCCCCCTTGCAATGGTCAGTTAATTCGCTCAACCGAAACGTGACGGACACTTAAAGCACGTATCATTAATAGAAGAGTAGAAGAAATTAGAAAATGTCTTACATGTATTCCAAAAATGCTTTTGATGGAAAAAAAATCAAAAGTCGACATTATAGACGAAATTATGGTTTTGAGCCAATCGTATCAGTGTATTTTTTAACTAGTTAACTAGGCGACACAAATGTCGCCCAGTGATTATACTCTGTCGACAGTATTTTAAAAGATTGGGCGAAATAATGCGAAATAAACGTGTAATACTATAATCTTACTATGGTATTATACATTGACTATTTCGAGAAAAACATTTTTTGTCGCCCAGTGAAAATTTCTTATAAAAGGAACTGAATCGTGTGAGAATAATGTCTTCGAAATCCTAGCAATAGGATAAAAGCTGCGTTGACACGTCGGTAGCTGAATACGCAGAAACAACAGTTGTTTAAAAAACGTTACGAGGGAGAGGGCAGGGGTGTACGCCAAGACGGTGAATTGTATGAAAAAAAGAATAACGAATAAGGGGAGAATAAATGTAAACGATTCGAAGACCGAGAGAAAAAGCGCGAGTAACAACAGGAGGAACTCGCGAGCGGTCGAAAAAAGGCGTTAGCCGGGGAGGTGCAGTACCTACCCGCGGAACATTGCGTAGGGGCGGCGATGGTCGGTAGGGCGCGTTTACAATACGTTAACCCATCACGCCCTTGCCCGAATTACAATGATTTACATTTTACGCGTACACGCGTAACAGTATTTAACACCGGGTTTAAAACTGAAATGTTAAGCGTACGAAGGAAGTTACGTACCCATCGCTCCGACGGAGCACCTGCTGCCGTTGTCCATGTCTCCAATTCGGCCGGGGACGATGTTGCAAACCCGCGGCGGATCGACCGGTGGTGGCTGCTCACAGCATCGGTCTCGCAGAACCGAACAGTATTAGTGCGTGTGTGCGTGTGCGTGTGGTGTCTGTGTGTTTCGCGCACGCGACAACGAGGGCGGTGAACCGGGGTGGCGCGCGATTGTGTGTGTGTGTGTGTGTGTGTGCCAGAGAGAAAGAATGCGCACACGCGAACGCTCTGCGCTGTGTTCCGATGGACGACGACGACTGACGGGAACCGTACGACCACCATCCGCGCGCCGAGCATGTGTGCTACTGCCGCCGTCGTCGTCGTCGTCGTCGTCGTCGGTTGTCGGGCGGCGGCCGGTGGTGGATACGGCGGCCGGCGGTTACCGTGTACCCGTGCGCCGCCGCCTTCTCCCCTCTCTCGATCGGTCCGCAGCGACGAACACGTTCGCGGTCTTCGTCGTCGACGCCGCCGCCGCCGCCACCGTCCCTTGTTGTCACGGCAACTGCGTCGTCGCGAACGTTCGGACCTTTTTTTTTCCGTCCGCTGTTCGGTTTCCCCTTCCATCCACCCCCTCACCCCACCGCGATCACCGGTCGTGTACCATCGTCGCTGCTGGCCCCTACGCGCGTACCCCGCCGCCCCGGCAGCACGACGCGCGTTAGACGCGCCAGTGCGAAAACCGCCCGTCGTCGCCGTTACGTTGCAAAATGCGTGCGGCTATTAGCCGCGAATGGCTACAATGTCCAATTGTCGGCGGAAAAAAAATAACTGCAAACACATCCTCCGTCCCTAGTTCACGTACGACGTGCCCGACCCGGGGGTGTTGTGAATACGGTCGGACGCGTCTCGCCCAAGTTCAAATATTTCAACGACAAACTCGCACTTGAATACGCGCAAACGGCTCGGAATCCCGCTCGTTAACGTTTTCAGTTGATATTACGGCCGAGCAACTCTTTTCAAAAACTCTTCCGATACACGACTACGCACTAGGCACCGATTATACGTATTGGACAACAGGAAAGGGATTATAAAGGTCGTCCTCACGAACTGTTGTAAAATAGAACCGACGACCACGGAAAAATTAACGTTTTGTGTATTGTTAGAATTGTTAGATACTTTCATTGCGAACCGAACAATTGTTATTGTGAATATCTACTGTCGTTTTCATATTATAGGGCAAAAAAATTAAATAAATAAATTATTATTTACTACGTCCCAAATTCAGATGTATCGAAAATTAAAAACTGTGTTTGTCTCGGCGCGCCCACCAAGGGTGCGTGTAATTGACTATGTATGTGTATTGAAAGAAAATGTGTTTGAAAAATAAAAGAGAAAATGTGTCGCACTAGGATGACACACATGGATCGGTATTGATACCCGAAATATTATGCTGCAATTGGAATTCGCCTAAAACCCATGCTGTGTCCGGATACTGCTGTATGTGTGGTTGACGCGATTTCTGTTTGCCACTATTAAAAATATTTTTAACAGTAAAGCAATATAGACAATATTGCGCAACAATATTTTTATACATTCAGTTTTATTTGTTGCGTTGTTTTGTAACTATAAGGGTAGAAATCAAGATGTATATAAATGTTCGAGTATATCGTGTAGGGGTTGATAGGTAAATAAACGACTAGGTACACAGAATGACTATAAACATTTCATAAGACCCGCGACTGGAGTTATTTTCATTTCAATTGTTTTCACTCAAAATATTCCGTTTGAGTGTGTGTGTTTTTTTTTTTTTTTTATTGCTATTCTTTATATCTCCAATCTTGCGAGGACCAACCAGGTGACAAAAATAAGGTCCAATGTCAATATACATTTATATATATTTAAACGTTTACCCATCGTATACCTTCCACATCGTTGTATCCTATTGACAGCGATTCGTTGGCGTCGGATTTGTGAATTGTGAGCTCTGCTGTTTGTACGTGATCTATTGTGTATTTCATGGATTCATCATTGAAATATTCTGCACGGGCGAGTTATAGGAATAATAATATACTACCGAAAATCATTTTAGAGTTTCCATTGTGTGCATCGTCAAAATATAAGGCACTTTTAATAATAATAATAATAAAATGTACTATAAATATAAACTATATATAACAAAAATGTACTAAAGAGGTATCACGAGTCTTTGTGAAAAAGATTTTATAATCTATATGTTTAAGAGAATTATTTTCGAGAACAGTTTGATACTATTGATAGTTCTCCTTATTATTATATATGAATATAATACAAGATATAATAGAAATAATTTGGTACTTACATTTGATATTTTAATTATAAATAAAAAAAAACTGCCAAATTAATTGACTACAAAATACTCGTACTTACACATTTTTTCTTTTAAAATATATTTAATTATTTTACGGTTTTAAATATATATTTTTTAGTTTTATTCTATGAACAACTTTTCGGTCATTGAAATAATTCTGAAAGTTATTTCTCATTCGATCAGAATATAGTTGTATACAGCTAAAACCAAGAGCGTCGTGAATTTACTTACTTCGAGGAATAATAATAACATATAGTTTGACTGAAATTTCTACAGAGAAATGTCTAATTACTTTATAATTTATTTTTTGTGCTATTAATTATTTTAAATTTGTAATTTTGTTGCGTTTCAACTTATTTCAAATCTTATTTTTTGTTTTATTAATAATTAACTATAACTAGTTGATGGTCCAAGACCGACGTTTACTAGAGGGAGAGAGAACTGAAGCCCCCTGTAGATTTCCTTTATACATAGAATATATTACTCAAAGTACTCGTAATATACAGTACTACGTATACGAGGATTAACTTATACTTTTGTATTCAGAATATTGTATTAAAAATAATAATCATTAATATGTAGTCAAACTGTATTATTGGCTATATAATATTATAGTTATAAAATAAATATCTCTAATGAGTATTGTACACTAGTTTTAGTAGCGTTAAATACCTTATATCCACTCTGTTTTGCGATCATTAAATTATAATTTATAATTAACAACTATGCGTCTGAAATAACTAGTTACTTATGTTTGTTTTAGCAACAATATTACATAAATATTTATAACTGTAACAGGGAGCATTGTTTGATAAAATATATATTAGTAATTGTGTTTATTTAGCTAAATGATTATTAATATCTAATATCAAAACGTTTTATTTATTAACGTACTTTTGTATCAACATACGTTCTAACTATCCAGTTGGAAATATTTCGGTCCTGCGAAAAAATTACATAAAACCATCAATTACGTATACTAATTTATGCTGCAATATGTTGAAATGATAACTGTGTCCTCGTAACATCAATATTTATATTTGAACTTGGAACAAGATATTCTACACGGAACAAAAAAAGTCACTCGAGTTTTTTCCCGTATTTATCTTTATTGGCCTAGCAAAGTGATAGTATATTAATTTAAAATTGAAAAAGTACTGCAGATTAAAAGATGATTGACGTTGACGATGCATTTAAATACTATGTTCAAGGAAGTGAAAGAAAAACTATTTAAATTGTTGAGCTATTGAAATTTAAAAACAAAAATGTGTGCCAATCATAATACGCATACACGGCTATACCATTTCATATGATCCCGTAACCATATGATATTATTAAAATATAACAACTATCATTGTTATAGAACACACAGGCCCACCACTAGCCGGCCCGGGAAGCTAGAATAGTGGTAGGGGCCAAAAACCCCGGGTTGACCCACCGACGTCAACTAAAAACCCAGTCGGTACCACGGGAGGGGGAGCCCCACCGCACGCCGGACCGGCCTGGCCGCTCCGGACCCGGTGCCCCCAAGGTTGAGGAGCCTAACTCGGCTGAAACGTGGTGGCAGTGGCACAGCGCAAGATAGTAACAAAACCACAACACCCAGTGGAAACCGCGGGTCCCAACACGGTTCTCGTGTCCGCGGTTGAAAGGGTACGGGCGAAAGCTCGGTGCTGGTGGTCCCTATGACGACCCGGGCTCCTTGGTCACACCTCGGGGTTCGTTCGACCGCGCCTCTTGAGTAACGCCACGCGTTAATAGAAGGTGCGCGGGCGATAGGCCTCGGCCACAAAACCGGATCTCGTGTTATAGAACACAATCTTATTTGAAATTATAAAAAGGGCTCACCCGTATATATTCTAAAATAAAATAAAATATTCGTGACATTTTTAAATTCGTGATTTAAAAACATTTTGTTGCTATTACGCACGATTACATTAAAATAAAACGGAAGTTTCTGAGCAAAGCCACGGATGTCACGGTGTACAAATATGATGTTTTTTTTTTTTTTGTTTTGGTAATTTATCCGTGATTGATCAAAATGTTCCGTAGGCTCTTAATATTATCTGCACACATTGGCGCAACTAGGTCTAAAATATTGGGGGGGGGGGGGGGGTCTGAACCCCCTCCAAATAAATTTAATTAATGTGTTGGGGGTCTTCGCCCCCAAACCCCCCATTACCGCAGACACACAACAATAATTATTAATTGAAATAATAACAATCATAAAATATTATATATTTAATATTTAAATTTAATATTATATATTTATAAAATATTACCATAATATATTATTAAAAATCATGTACCTACTTCTGCGTAGTATGTTATACATAAAATACGACATAGCACCACCGCAATATTCCACCGTCGTCCATCACATTTATTAGATAATAATATTATTATTAATTATGTAGAATTGTAGGAATTACAAAATAAACTATAATAATAATATTTTATATTCATACAATTTACTTTTGAATAGTTCTCTGCGTCATATACTCATATTATTTAGTATGTATCTCACTATCTCATGCTTAAATTATCATAAAATTTTAAATAATTAAAAAAAATTGGTGGGGGGGCTATAATACATTTTGGGGTGCTAAGCCACCCTAAGTCCACCACTAGTTGCGCCAATGTCTGCACATAACTCGTATTGCGGGACCATTCTTGGTCCAATTGGCCAACGGAAAACAATGCGAAAACGCACAATATCATTGCTTTCGTTTTTTTAATATGTATCCGATCCCGATACACGGTCGAGTACGCGTCTGCTGAGATCGTACGTCACTCGTAGCGGTGCTGCTCTTCGCGCCGATTCTCGGTCCCGCGTCGTTGTACGTGTACATCACCAGACGTTTAAAGAAACCGATTTGACGCGGACTGCTACATCGCTTACCGATGATGTCACCCAGACACGCGTCCGTCTCGTTGTCGAGGTCTCTGGACTTCACGTTACCCGATACGTCCGTGTACGTATTGAACACGTTCCATTATGCTTTACTCTAGTGACTTTTGGGGCCGGATTATGGTCGTAATATGAGGGGTAATATATATGTGTATTACATTCTTAGTGAGGCCTTTTCAAAAAAGGGCCTTATTTTATTTATTTTTTTTTTTTCAGATTTAGTCATTTGTAATAAATATTAATTAAAATAAGTTCAGTTTATTTGTTTATTATTGAAAACTATAATAAAATTTTATTTTTTTTAACATATTTATTTGATGCCATTACATATGAAAAAAAAATTGGCTGCCGAATTGTGGCCCCTTTAAACTTGCGGCCCGGGACTATTGCCCCCCCCCCCAAGCTCCCGCGCCATGATCCAGCCTGGGTGACTTTATTCTGTTGTATTTGTATGTGAACGCGTGCGTGTGCTCGCGTGTATGTGGCACTGTCCGTACTACGCTTTAACGCCTGATACGTGAATGTTGCTTTTAACGTATCTAATATTGTTACGAGACCGTATTACTTATTACTTTCCTCATTACATTCCAATAAGCGACCTAGGATATTTCAGCGTCAATCGTTTTTGCGTGAATCCATTTTGACATAAACTATAATAAAAGTATATGCCAAAATATAAAAAAAGTATATAAAAGTATATGCCAAAATACATATTTATATTTATTAATATAAATAGGAAAATTGTTAAACTATAATAAAAGTATAACAGTTTTCCTTGGATATTTGTGTAAATTTTATTTTAAAATGCTATTGATGTCGCGATTTTTATAATTATTTACATCAATATTCTTCTGTATAAATAACTATTTATAACTAACGTTCATACGGTTAGTGGTATCTTTTGTCGGTTGTAGAAGTACGTACAATAATGGGTGGACTCCATCAAAATACTTTGCTAGTAGAATGCCTATTTGAGATAAAAAAATGTGGAACATTTTTAAAAATACCATCAGCCAATGGCGTCCATTCGTCCACTCGGGCCCATGACACTAGAAAACCCATCAAGGGAATGTCGAGAATTCAAAAAATAAATCACCAAATTACAAAATTTTAATTTCATGGTCCTTTGTACTTTTTATTGAATTCATTTTGGTGTGGACTACTGATATGGAATTTGTACTTCATGATGATTTTCAATTTAATTGGTCCGTGCAAAAATCAGATTTGTCCAAACGTATAAAGAAGATACTCAATATATCAAACAATAAAAATGATCTTCCATGAATATATATAAAATCTTGTTACAAAATAGGAAAAACTAGTTTGATACAGTGCGCTTAGAATCATATGCTATACAGCATGCGTATAATAAAAATGAAATTGAACTCCGAAACGAGTTCACGCCAAAATGGTTTACGCCAAGATTTCCGGGTTTTCCTAATAAGATTAAGTAATAAGTTATTTCGTGTTGCATATTTTTTTTTTATGCACGTATTTTATCGTGTAACGCAAGAGTACCCTAAACAAATTTATAAAAATCAAATAACAATAATTGTTACAGACCATACCGTACTTGATATTAAAATTATAATTTAAATTTTGGGGGGAGGTGATATTGAATATGGCTTCAATTAAAATTGTGAAAACATCAAGAATACCTGGTCATTACCAACGTTTTGATTAAATTAAGCGAACGAACATGTTTAATTAAATAAAACCTGATGCGTTCATGATAAGATATTGATTCGATCAAATTTCTTTGAACACTAATGACATCATAAATCTCGTACTCCATTTCAAACGGTAAATAATACTCGCCTCGGTGCAACATAATTTAATACGAATACGACAAGAAATATTGATCAGCCACGGTCCTCGGAAAGCGGCAAATGGCAAACCATCATGCTTTCGACGGAATAAAATTTAAAAAAAAAAAAGAGTGCCACAAACTCAAGAATTCGTAAAGTCCACGATATTTCGCCAACACTCGCTAACCCGTAACATGCAAACTGCCTTCGATATTGCCACAACGTCGTCGATTGATCTACGTACGCGATTATACTATAGATTTATGTTCGTATGAACGGTAATTACAGGCAGACGCGAATACAAAAGGGCTTTTAAGAATTAAAATCTCCCTCCACCCACCCCTCACCAGTTGAAACCCTACGAAATTGTAAAATATTAATACTTTTATTTGTATATCTACACTTGACAATAAGTAATATTTGCCTGTGTTAAACATATTTAAAGGGGTGAATGTCACTAGATCAAATGTAGGTGCATAATTATTTTGTAATATTTTTCAGTACGTATTTAAAATAACAATCAATGTTTCATCCTCGATGTTTGGAGTGACGCAACCGAACGTACAACATTTTTACTGACACATTTTTTGAAGCGTAAAATGCGATCACGTTACTTACTCTTTGCACCAATTTTTTGATATTATTCGAACACAGATTATAAAACAGTGAATAATAATATTTTTCAATAAATGTTATTTTTTTTCATAACTATTTTTAAAAAATCAATCAAATACTTACATTTTTAGTTACATAATATTGATACAATTACCTTAAATTCAGGTTTACAATTATTATTATATAGTTCTATACATTTTAATAAATTATACAATATAATTCATATAATTTTGTTATACATAATATATACACAAATACAAATGTATTCTTACTTATTTAACCAATTATAAAATTTATTGAACGTAATAATTTGGATTGGTATATTTCATTAATATTAAATAATAAATGGTGATATGCTCTATTTTTCTAGAAAAAATTTCTTTTTGTAAGTTTTCACATTGTCTTATATGAATTTCTTGTCTATTCATAAGTGGTGTAATAAAACCGTATAGACTAAGAGGAAGATAACTAAGGGGAATTCCCTATTACAAATAATGGTGTTTATTTGTAAATAGTAATTTTGTATAATTAACACAATTAGTTTTTTAATAGTCAGCTTTTTGGAGTGTAATATTTCAATGGAATATTTCGAAAACCTTTTTAATGGCAATCTATACCAAAAAATTAGTCTATTTCTAGTTTAATGGGAAATTTGAAATATTTTATAACTCAGGTCTAAACAATAGTCGATTATAGATAATAATGGATTTCAGGCACATGGAAGAATTGGATTGATTACAACTAATATAAATATAATGATGCCTTTGTTTCACAATTCAATAATATGAACACTATTCTCACTTTCATAAAGAATGAACTATAGTTATATTCTATTCTAAAGAACGAAGTAGTGCTCAGCAACCAATTTTTATCGGTTTAAGTCAGATTAAGTTAAGTTCGGTCATGCCCACATTATTAAATTATGGTTTCATGGTTTAAAAAAAAAAATTTTATGATATCATGATGAACTATAAAAGAAGTATTAAGAATTTATGCATTGTCTTAGTGGGTAAATCAATATGAATTTCATATTTTTCAAAAAAATTTCAGATTATTATTCATTAAGTTCTTGTCGTAAATTAAAACGTAATAAATGTTAATATAATTTGAAAATTATCAAGGATTTGGTTAAAATAAAAACTATTTTTTTTTTATATGATAAAAAATACCCTGTATTTTATAGATAATACAACATAATTGTAATGACTTAAAATAAAAATGTTTAGTTTATGTTTTAATGAAATAATTAAAAATAATTATAATTACTAATTCAATTTACTTAAAAAAATAATTTTTCTTGATTCTGTACGTTATATCTATGAATGTTTTAATGACAAATACATTTTGTTTTTTATCATTTTCTTTTCGGGATTGATTTTCTTTAATAGTAAAGCAATAATACTAACTAATTGTTCAGAACTTAAATTAGAACGACTCTTAAACTTTGTAACTAGTTGAGTGGTGGTTATGGGTTTGCGTGACAAATATCGACGAACTGCTTCTTCAGTTATTCCATGAGTATCAGATATTGAAACAGGTGAAAACTCCATCCTAGCTTTTTTCTGTGCTGGTTCGAAGCTAAGATATAAGTTCGTACAGTAAATAAGTTTATGTTAAACAAGAAAACTAAAAGTAATGGTAAATATTACCTCTGACTAGACGAATCATTTGAAAAACCAATCAAATCAACATTATTACTTTTCAAGGCATCCAAATTAAACTGTCTTTTCCTAATTGGTTCACTGTCTATATCTGAGCTATCTACAGAACTATCACTATCTGAATCTTAAAACAAATGTATATATGTATTTATATATATATTTATGTAACCTAGTAATTTATGCATTATACATTTTGAAGGTTATTAATTAATTACCTGTATCCTTTTTCACTTTTTTATCAATAATTTTATTTTTTTTCTTGCTAGGAGTAGTTTGTTTTGGTTTAATTTCTTCTTTTTTAACTTTTTCTTCTTCTTCAATATCAGAGATATTTTGTTCATCCTTCTTTTCTTCTTTCTTTTCTTCATCTTCATCTTCATCTTCATCAGACGTCAAAAGACTATGCAATGCTTTTTCCTCAGATACACCCTGCATTTCTTTTGTAACTTTAGCTTCATCATCTGTCACACTACAATACAAATTAAATTAATAGTTTTACTTTTAATATTTTATTACACTTGTATATTCAATTATTTACTCGTCTGAAGAATCAGAAATGTAATCCAACTCTCTGCCCTCTTCGTCACCATCATCACTTTCCTCAGTAGCTGACTCATCTGATCCTTTTGATTTCTTTTTTGGTTTAGCTTTAGCTTTACTTTTTTCTGTAACATTAAAACTAAATATACTACTAATCTATTATTATCAAAATACTGCACATTTTTAAATAAAATATTTAATATATTTAACTATGTTCTTTTATTAATTATAATAAGTAAAATATTATAATGCATTATTAAGTTCTAAGCTTTATATGTTTTTCAAACATTGAGATAAAAATCCCTGAATGTGTAAGAGATAACAGTTACCTACTTAAAAATTATAAATTAATAACGCTGTATTTAATAACTGATTACTTACGTTTTAGTTTCTTTTTCTTTTCAATTTTTTCTTCATCTTGTTCTTCGTCTTCTTCAGATTCTTCTTCGTTGCTTTCATCCCATTCCTCCATTTCAGAAATTTTCAGCTCTAGTACAATTTATAATACAAGTAGGCATTTAAGATTTAAAAATAAAACTTAGCTAATCAAACCTTTTTTACGACTTTTTGGTCCCTTTTTCCCTTTTGTTTTATCATCTTCATCAAAGTCTTCGTCTTCTTCATTTTTCAATCTTTTTTGTAACATAACAGTAAAGTGGTTCATAACTTTATTACGCCTACAAAACAAAATTTTTTTTTTATTTTCTGATTCATTTGAAAATTATATACTACTAAAACAAATTAAAAAATATATAATTACTAATATTAGGTAATTATGAAAAATATTTAGTCAATTTTTAATTTTTACTATTTAAAATTTAAATTTTTTTTTACATTTCTTTACAAATGCATCGCTTAAAATATAAGATAGACAGCTGAATTTAAAAGAACCTCATTATTGACATTTTTTTAAATTTATGCTATCATTATTGAATTAATTAAATATAAATAAAATACCTTCCGAATTCTTCTTCTGCTTCTTCGACAGTTAATGTTTTATAACGTTGTACGGGTTGAAAATTATACCATTCTTCTACTTTGTGAGCATTTAAAATACCATCTTCTCCATGAGTAAACAAATAATAAGAAGAGTTGTCGGTAATACCTCCTTCACGTACACCTTTAAATCTAAAATAATCATGCATAATTACTAAAATTGTTTTAAATAGTAGGCAAAATATACTTTTTTCCTCCAACTTTTAATATCCAAGGACTAGATTCTGACACTTTTTTATTGCCTCCATATCTTCTTTTTCTTGCTTCTTGTCTAGCTTCACGACCAAACTCACTTCCAGCTCCAAATCTTTAAAATATAATACATGCATGTTTCAATATATTTTATTATTAGTCTATAAATAGTTTTAAATTTACTTAGGCATATCTTCTTCTGCAAATTTTCCATCTACTTTATTAATATCTCTCTCCATTTTGGCATGAGACCATTTTACAAAGTCAATATTTAAATTACTATTAAACTTCATCATTTGATACTTAACGTCAGAGATCCTATTTAACAAATGTAAATATAAATCAATAAATACAAAGGCTCTTCTCGTGTAACACTATATTTTAGTTAGTGCTGTTATTGTAGCAAAACCAGAATATACACCATACAAAACTATATAATCATTAGGTGTTACATCTTAATGTACATAATCTTACCTAATTTTTTGGTAGTAGATATAATATAGTGGCATAAACAATGTACAAATAGTATAAGAATTAAAATAGAAAAAAAACATATTTTTATCAATTTTGTTTTTGCAATAATTGTTTTAAAAATTGTATATAAAATTAATTAAAATATGTAATGTAAGTACTTTATAGCAAAAAATTTCAAACATATTCTATGAATTTTAGTTTTATCAAACTATATTTTGAATTGATACTGATTGGTGGCAAAATTAAAAATTTAAATAGACATACACTATGATTATAAATTTTACACAATTGGCAAAGTGGATACTATCTTCTTCTTTTTGTTCTTCACCTTCTTCCCAACTATTTGGAGTGAGCCACTTTTGTTCTAAACCTCCACTCGTCTCGATTTTCTACTTTCCGCACATACACACCAACAGTTCTCATATCATTCTCAATCATATTCAACCATCTCTTTTTTTCTTCTACCTATTACCTCTTTCTCTTTTCCCTTCAACTTTCATTTTCATAAAAACTCTTACTGCTGTTTTTTCCTCTCATCACATGCCCAAACCATTCTATTTTCTCCCATCTTGTCCACTATAAACGCAACACCAATACTACCTCTCATATATTCGTTGCTTATTCTATATTTTCTTGTCATTCCACTCATCTATCTAAAACATTCTTATTCCCACAACACTTATACATTGTTCTATTTTCCTGTCAACTGCCCAACACTCTACAAACCATATAGCATAGTTGGTTTTACTACACTCATTAAAATTCACCTTTCAGTCTCATTGGAATTATCTTATTAGATAAAATGCCCGACACTTATCTTGTGATTTGTGAGTTTGTATAATACAGTGCTATAAATCTATACTATACAAGGTTAATAAAATGGTTAATTACACATGGTATTAAATCATTTTAAACAGACAGTATAAAAAAAAAAAAAAATTTAGACATTATTTTTAGTTATTACCACAATTATAGATATAAATTATTATCATTTATTATTGTAACTTGTTTACCCCTTACATACTCATTCTAAAAATAACCATAGCTTTTTATCTAATCTCTATAATTTTACTCTAATCAACTTAATTAAACTGTATATAGTTATTAACATTATTGTATATTCAGATATTCTGATATTAATCATATTATTCTAGATTAATAAATATTAAATAATAATTATTATTCATTCAGTAATGTCTTTTGGCTCTTGCTAACTACCTAGATTCTTGTTTTGATAGTCTAAACTTTTAATGATACCTACCTCATAATTGCAAATTGGTAGCATGACTAAATATTAATTTGGTGAATTAGGTCTAAAATAATTCTTATATTATGTGTTTTATAATTTTTTTCTAACTTTCTAGCCGTTTTTTTCAATTAATCTATTTTAAAATAAATTTTTATTTCATAATTAACAATTCATATTTAACAAAGGTCATAACCTTTGTTAAATTTCCTATAATTTAAGGTACTGCAAGATTCTATACGGTATAATACTGGTATAATACGGTTTATACAAAAATAAAGTACCATATTTTAACATCTCTACTTATCTCCATTGCATTCAACTGCACTTAATCTTATGTTTACATCCAAGCCAAAGTTCCCGTTCTCTTGTACAAATGATCCTAAATATTTAAAGTTCTCGACTTCACCTATCACATCACCGCTTATTATTATTGATCTCTTCACACTCTCAACTTTTTGGTAATTTTCTCAAAAGTCATAGTCTGTATACTTTGTTTTATTTCTACTAACTCTCAATCCTTTTCCTTCAATAGCTAACCTTCACTCATCCAACCTATTAACTTTCTCCAGATTTTCTCCTACCAAAACTATCTATCTAACTTATCCTACCAAAACAAATCACCAACAAACATCATACCATAACCAAAGTATCTTGCCCTATATGCCTTTGGTAACTTCATCCATTACCACAGAGGACAAAGAAGAACTTAAATTCGACTTCTAATGCACACTAAAATCGTCTATTACTCCATAAAAACTCTTTGCACTAGTTTTTGAGCCTTCATACATAACCTGAATCAAATTTTTATATGTTTTTAGGACCTTTTTTTCTCATTAATGCCAACTTTAAAACTTCTCTTGGCACTCTATCATATATTTTTTCTAAATATAAAAACACTAAGCATAACTTTTCTTCTTTTTCCTTAACTTCTCTACAAGTTGTCAACATAAAATAATAATAAATATAAAAATATGATAAAATAATTCATTTTTAATTTTCCATAAAACCAAACTGATTTTTTGGAATTGATTTCTCACTTCTTATTTTCTTCTCTATAATCTTTTTCTAAATTTTCATACTATAACTCATCAGCTTTATTCTTCTATAGTTCCCACATTCCTGTATGTCTCCTTTGCCTTTAACGAAGGGGAAAACTATATTTTTTTAATTAAATACAGAGAATACAGCTGAATTATGAATTAGGCATTCATACATTGATTATTAAGATAATAACAATCATAGGCATGCACATAGAATGTATTTACATAATTTTATAATATATTTTCAATTAAATTATTAAACTATGACAGTGAATAAACAACCTAGGCCGGAAGACATACAATGTTTATTCTAAATTATTAGATGATATACGGTGTATACTAAAGTATACCCTCCAATATATCCCAACTTGTTAGTTGATATTAAAAATTAGTAGGACAGAGAACTTTATTAAGTATTTTTATATATGTTTTTCACAATCATAAAAATAGTAGAATACAAAACAAATACGTTTCATGCATTTTTACAAAGCTAATCTTGAAATTTTATTTTTATTTTTAGGATATATATAACATACATATCATATTCTTATATACTAAATCTGTTTTATACTAGATGCATATTTTAAATAATTTATAATTGTATTAATACATTTCCATCAAATTTTTTATTTCATCTAATATACAAGCAAAATATTGTTTAATTAATTGTTCGCAGACACATATTTTTCCTAGAAATACATCTTAAGGGTCACCGAATAGATAAATTTTATTAATAAAAAGTAAACATGTAGTCTACATCAGTGGTCTTTAATCGGAGGGTTGCAACACAATTTTAGGTCGCATAAGCTTTAAGATTGGGTAATGATAAGTCTTTTGTTAAAAAAATTTAAAAAATTCAATATTCATAAATATTATATTATGTATAGGGCCTGGATTTAAATGCACTAAAAACCATACAAATATGCTCTAAAAAATAGCCAAAAATGTCCTTAAAAAATGCATTTTATCACAAAAATTAACTTATAAATGAAAAAAAGACCTTAAAATATGACATATTTTTTTTATTTTAGGCATTATTTAACATACTATTTGATACATAAAAATCACGTTCACACGTGATACGAGCAACGTCTGCGAGGTTATGCGAACTATAGCTGATTATTTGTTATTTGACCGAATACTGGTGACGTTCCATAGTCAATAATAAATTAAGATAAGATAAAAACTGAATCGAAAAATAAAGATTGACAATGTGTATGGAAAAAACCGATAAACCTACTTAAATATTAAGAAAATAATTTGTCTATTGATTTTATTTTGAATAGTCTAAATTTGTTTAGAATACCGAACAAATATGCATTAAAAACCAACAAAATGACCCAATAATACTAAAGCCGCGTGTACGTTGGCGAGCGGCGAGCGTTGAGCGAGGAAAAAAATTTGAGCCCATGTAATTAAACCGGTGTGTGTACATTGATTACTAGCGGCGAGCGGCAGTTGCGAGCGGTAGCGACGGGTCACGTCGCGTCGCGTCACAAATCGAACATGTTCGAATTTTGACGCGCGTTGCTCTTGAAAATATAGTATACTGATATCAGTTTACAGTTGTTATTTTACTTGTTAACAAGCAACATCTCTCTGGTGATTTCCTTAAGTCATTATACAAATGATGATACTCTCCATACATTTTTCTTCGGCAATTTATGGGATGAACAGCAACCCTTTTTTTTTTAAGTAACTTTTTACGTAAAAATGGATTATTCAAGACTAACGAGAGACGTTCTACTGTGAGGAACGACATTTTTTCGTAATAACACGCAAAATAATACGGTAATAACAAGCACAGAACAGTCAAAATACAACTATGTACAGAAAACAAATTTATAAAAATATAGCATGCCGCTGATGAAAATAACGCGCCTCAATGTACACACGTTGCCGCTGGTCGCTCACCAAGCGTCACCGCCACCGACGCCGCCGCTTAACGCTCGCCGCTCGCCGCTCGCCAATGTATGCGCGGCCTAAAAATGCTCTAAAAATGAAAAAACGTCGAAATATGCAAAAAAAAATGCAAAATAAGATTTGTAGTTTTGAAACCCTCGTTACATGAAACGAATTATGTTCTTAGAGAGCATTGTGTATAATTAACCAAAAAAATATGCACTTGGCATTGAAATCCGGTCCCTAATTATGTATATCATATATCAGATAAAAAAATGTTTGATTAAACACAAAACCGTACTATTTAATAATATTTGATGTAGATAGAAGATAAGAATGATACTTTTTTTTTTATACACTCATACTTAAATAGAAAAAAGCCTTAACCAATAATTGAAACATGCCACAAATCATTAACTGTTAAGCACATAGTGGAGGAGTATACATAATAAACCTCAATACACATTGACCTGAACATGCCATCCATAATAGTAATAGTACTTGTCGAAAGCCAAATTCTGAAATTGATCACATTCTTAAATAACACAAATATTTTTAGTAAATCTTAATTTTAAACATAACTTTACCTATATAATATGTAATATTGTAATTTTAAACGTAACATCTAACACATGTAATATGCAACATCTAATGGCTAATAACCTTTGCTATTGAAACCTTAATTTTCAAATAGAAAAAAAGAATGAAATGAACAATCAAAAAAAGAAATGGTAAAGTGATAGACCGATTCAATCTGTAAAACTAATTTACATGTAATGTATCTATTCTATAAACTGCATTATGTGAAATTAAGCCAAGGTGGAGGTATTTCTGTGAAAACCATCAGGACAAATATTGCACTAATTTTTTTGTGTATTATTACTAGGGCTGGGATTTTAATGCTCTAAAAAATAGCAAAAAATGCTCCAAAAAGAATGCAAAATACTTTAAAAATTATAAAAAATAGATTTATTATAGTTTAAAAATTATATTATAAAAATTATATTACCAAACATATTTAAATATATTTATTTAACATAACAACAATAAAATATATACCTTTTTCTTTAATATTTACATTTTATTTAACTTTATTGAAATTTGATCATTGTTGGACTCTTGAAAATAGAAAAATTTCTTTCTACTTTTTTAATTTTGTTCTATTTTTATTAATACATTGTACATAAGCCAATATGTTTGTATTTATTAGTTTATCAATTTAATATATTACATACTAAATGTGTAAGTTTTAAGCAAATAAACACCAAAATATGTGATCAATTACCCTAATATTTAAGAATAAATAGCTAAATTCTGAAAAATGGTCTAAAAACTTGAAAAATGCCACAAAAACAACAAAATATACCCTAAAAATGTTTAAATCCTAATAATATTAGGTTAATATATAATTATATCCTAATAATGTTAAATGTGCAACATAAAAATGCAAGATAAAAATTACATTAAATTAACCAGTATCACTTGAAACACATTTTCTGTTTACGAACCTATGTGTTGGGACATCAGAAAAAAAAATGCATTTACATCAAAATCCCAGGCCTAATTATTACACATACTTTTTTCGGTATCATTATTTATAATAAATATTAAATATCACCTAGATATCTAAAAAAATACAAATTTTAATTTATTCAGTTATAAAAACACTTCTAAAATAGTATGCATTAAGCAATTTTAACTTTTTTTCGTTTTCATATCTAACAAAATTTACAAGGGTCGTAAAAAATGCATGGTAAGAAAAATGAGTCCCGAGTCGAAAATGTTAAAGACCACTTGTTTACATCATAAAATTTCTAATAGAACATTAACGACATTAATGATTCCATAAATGATACCAAAAAATGTTATTATACTAATAACTTCATTTAATCTTAGTTTTGCTGCTTGCGTATTGCGTATATGCGCCAATTCATGATTTGTGTCAATGTTTTGTCTTTGTGTAGAGTGCCTAAAGATAAACATTTTCTCTACAGTCAGTTAAAGAATTACTTATAACTATTATAACTTTAAAGTAGGATGTAACAAAATAATTTAACGTTATGCAACATTTGAATGATTTATATATTTTTAGTGTATATTTAGTGCTTTTTTAGAGCTACAAGTCCTCTATCCTACTTTTAAGTAAATATTTCTCGTATTAAATGTATTTTCATTTAGTGTCCAGTATTGTTGATTTAAGCATAAACATATGGATATTGCTATACCACTTAAAAATTAAATTGGATAATTTTAAAACTATCAAACAACAAAAACATTGCTAAATAAATATTAAATTTATCCTTTCAATTTTATTACTTAAATAAAATATATTAAATTTATTATAATTTATTAATAGATTTTGATGAATAATTTCTATTAAGTTAATTTTGATATACACATAAGGATAAATTTTATTTAAAATGTATTCATTATTTATTTTTCTTAAAAGTTATACAAGTAGTTGTTCTTTCTATGTCATCAATAATCAGTAAATATATTATTAATGTTTGATAACTTAAACCACAATTATAACCGTTTGTATATTATAATTAATAAACATAGTAAAAATATTAAAATTACTATATGAGGGCATTTTAAAATTTAAAAATGCAAATGTAAACCATTATTAACCACTTACTTGAGTACTTTTAGAGAGAATTCTTTAGTACTGCTTGTTGGCAACATGTACGGAGTACAGCTTCCACTGACTTTCTATAAAATATCAACAATGTTATTCCACAGTGAATTTATTTATTAGGTTACAAATTTATATTTGACTATAATGTTCAGCTAAATTTGTTTTTTGGATTTCATTCAACTTACAGGTGAATAAGTCATGTCTAAGTTTTTACGTTTATTTGTTTTGCAAGTTAATTTTACAGATAATTATTCTAAATAAATAAAGCGTTTTGTTAAAATGTAACCAATCGCACGTGAAAATAAACACAATACTAAAATAAAAAATTAAACACAAACATTCGTGACAAATACATCCATAATCTTTTATTGATATTCTGTTTTGGTGTCTGTTATCAGTATTATCGCAATGCGATTAACTGTGATAAATCGACAAATGGTAATATGGCGGCAATTGATCATTTTTGAATTTTGAAGTGTCTATCAGTATATTAATGGAATATAATCACTGATTATTAATTAAGTAGATAATCCACAGGCCATTGATGTTGATAAAATTGAATAAATTATTGGTATAACCATGAAAATAAACCGCCCATTGGAGATATGGTTCAATATAGAACGTGATGTCAGCGTCAATTCGACAAAGGCTGAACTAACCATAGCAGGGACGGACCCAGAAGAGGGCGAGGGGCCGTTGCCCCCCCCCCCCCCCCAAACATTCTGAGAACGATGGTGGTAAGTGTGTGGAAAATGCAGAATACACAAATGCTCTACTTAGATCATTCCAATATCCAATAATTATTAATAATTTATAAATAGTAAGTATAAACCGCACCCGCCGTAATATTTACTATTCTGAAAACCAACTACCAAGTGAATGAGGATTGTGAATTTGGAAAAAATAGGAATTTTCTGCAGGTGTTTGTAAGGGATAAGGAAGTAAAATTAAGTTAGGCTTATGAGTAAAATATTTAAATTACAAATTAAACTGTTATTATAAATTAACTTCTATTTCATATTGTGATACCACAAAAAAAAAGTATTAGGTATACAATCGACTATCGAAAAATTGTAATAGCAAGATTATTGATGTTTTAAAGTTGAACTGAACGTTACTAAACGTTCCATAGGTATTATCATGTTATTATTATTATCAATTATAATACGAATAATATTCATATCATAGGCGGACCCAGAGTTTTACATTCGAGTGTGCCCTGTCATTTTTCGGCTATTTTTTCAAAATATAAAGGGAAGTCATAAACACGTACGTGTAGACCGTGTTATGATTTAAATTCTAAAAATAAAGGCTTTGTTAATGATGTAAAATAACGATTGATAAAAAATACACTTAATTATTATTTCAGACTTATTCTGAACACTTGCAGTATTACTTACAAAAAAACTAAAATTTAATTAATGTGTATGCACGTATATTCTTGATTGTAATTATTCAATTTTTTTATTCATATTATTCACATTAAGGTGTGCCAAGGTACGCCTGGCACACCCGTAGAGCCGCCTATGTTCATATTTCATAACAATCAGCCGTTTCGTGTCCTCAAGATAAACCATTTTGTTTCTTACGTAGAATTTGTAAAAACCTCAGAAAAATTTCGGGGAGTTACAACCCCCAAACTACACCCTTAGTTGTGCCACTGCTGTTGTGATATTTATATCTATATATTAAAATATTATACTATTGTCATTTGCCACTATGCCTGACGATTTAATTAATGACATTTTGAATGATGGAATAGTAACTACTCATTCAAAAAAAAAAAAATGAAATAAAAAACAAAAGACCGTGTTATCATACATACATATAAAATTATAAATGGGGGGGGGGGGCTGTAACGTACTTTTTTTAACGTCGCCCCCACTTAAATACTCGTGCTTTGCCACTGCGTTTCACGGTTCATAGTGTCCCTACTGGGATATAAAAAGGTCGAGAACCGCTGTCTAGGCAGTGGCGTATTTGAGGGGGATTGATGGGGGCAATCCCCCCCCCGAGAATTTTTAGACCAAGACAATTTTTATGTAAGTAATGGGTATTTTATTAAGAAACAAAAATTATGATTTATTTTATAGTATTACTACATTGGAAAACGTTTCAAATTTTACACTAATTTAAATAACGCAAAATGCTAAATTTTTCATAACGTTTTAACTGTCAATAATGGTAAATGAAAATTTTTTTAAAGGTTTAAATTTGTATAACGTTTAAACGCTTAAATTGAATAACGTTTAAATTATTTATAGTGTTAAACGCTCAATTGCTTATAATGTTTATATATCCCATAACGATAAATAATATATATTATTTTGATTGAAGACCATACTTAGTGAAAAATTGGATAAAACATAAGCGAAACTTTCAAAACAAAGATAGGTGTTAAAAAAGAACTACACAAAAGACCATTTTAAGTGGATCCGGCATTAGATTAAAAAAAAAAAAAACTACAAATATTAAGGATTCACCTGATATAAATGCTACCGACAATTTTACTTGTAATTGTTGAGCTTGAATTAAAGAAAAAATTTAAGTCGCTCCCCCTAGAAGTAAGTCTAAATACGCCCTTGTGTCTAGGTACTCATTATAGAGGACTCTAAAATCGCGACGAATGTAATAATTGTAAAACGGCCAAAATGAAACATCAGGAAAATGTCGAGCACATACACGGTCATTCGTAAGAAAACGAATGCACGCAGTACGTGCAATAAGCCTTTAGTATTATAAGCTTGTAACTCAAAACTTTTTTTTTAATCAGTACGTACTGCGGTATTTTGAAAACTGATAGAAATTTAAAATTATAAAAAAATAAATTTTGTTTTTAGATTTTTCACTGCAAAAGATTGAAACCGGTAGCCGCTTTGAGTTACTGACGAGTATGCAACATTTAATAGTTTATCAAAATTTAACCGATTAAGTTGATAACATGCCGATGATAACACTTCGGGCATGGTGATGCGCTCGAATATTGTGAATAAAAAAGCATTCTCCTGCGCCGATCGCTGAAAACACTCACTAATATTGGTCTGTTAAAGCTTGTGGGCCGTAGTCGGTCGCTTATTTCGGATAATGAAGGTAATATTTAGAGTGTTTAAGTCATGTCGGTTGAAATTATGGAAAGAGTGCGTGGTCAATTCGTCCGTACACCGTACGAGTTGTCGGAGTTATTCCACCAATGAAGATGAACAAGTCGTAATGCCTCTCAAATATCAAAATATACCAAGCGAGAATATTCGCAATTTCAGTATAATAGCTCACGTGGACCATGGTAAGAGTACGTTAGCTGATCGGTTATTGGAGATGACGAAAACCGTCTGCATTGAGGAGGGCAAAGCACAAGTTCTAGATAGGTAAATAGTTGTATTTTTATAACTCTAAAATGATCTTCGAAACGTTTTCTAATTGAGAAAATTTTTTTTTTTACTCAATTGTTTTTATCTTTCGATGAAGTGTATGTTTAAACATAGTAACATTTGAGTAATTCAACTTGCCTAAAAAAAAAATTAAATATTAAAAATATCTTGTACACCTGGGTTTTGGATTTATTTTACAATAATTTAGTCAAATAATCATCAATAATTAATATTTTTATTTAGTCATGTGATTTAAAGTAAATATTATTATTTTTTCTGTTATATAAAATAGTAAAAAAAACCTGGAAAAAAACTCATATGATACTATTGATACATTTATGACATATGAAACAAAAAATTTCTAATAAATTGTTTAACTTAATAAAATTATTTCTTCGTCTTCTTAGGGTTTGTTGGGCCTTCAAGACCATCCCGTCTCACAAGCAAGCTTCCATCCTTCTCTATCCAATGCTAGAGTTCTCCGATCGGAGTAATCTCCCAACCATTCAACATCAATTTTAATAAAATTATTTATTGATTTTTAAATTAATAATTAAAATTAATTTTTATCCATACTTTGATTTGAGTATGAATTTGAATTAATTACATATTTTTTTTATTGATTATTTTCATTATTTCATATATTATATTTTAAGCAAAAAAATATAATTTATAATGTTCTATAAAAATATATTAACATTTTAAACATTTGGGTCTACATATGACTAAACTTATTTCACTGCATACATAAATTATATATCTGATTAAAATTAAATAAATACTTATTTATACTTTCCAAAATCAATAAAATAAAATGCCGGATTACTACTAAGTAAAAAATTGCTATTACATTTAGGTATAATTTTAGTAAATTTAGGTATCTTTTATGATTATAGAAAACATCAATTCAAATTAAAGATGATTATGTTCCATTTCATAACTTTAAAATAAGTAATAAAAGAAATATATTTTCAGGTTACAAGTAGAAAAAGAAAGAGGCATAACAGTTAAAGCTCAGACTGCTTCATTATTTTATAAAAGTAAAACAGATAATCAAATATACTTGTTAAATTTAATTGATACTCCTGGTCATGTTGATTTTTCCAATGAAGTATCAAGATCATTATCAGCATGTCAAGGTGTTATACTTTTAGTTGATGCTAACCAAGGTGTTCAAGCTCAAACTGTAGCTAATTTTTATTTAGCATTTTGTAAAGATCTTGTTATTGTACCTGTGTTAAATAAGGTAGATTTAAAAAATGCCAATCCAGAGAAAGTTGAAGAACAATTGGAAGGGTTGTTTGATATTGATGCTAAAACAGTATTGAGGGTAATATATAAATATAATATAAATTCACTCATGTAATATGTTCGTTAACAATTTTGAAATATTTATCTATGATACATAATTTTCAAATAGATATCTGCAAAACAAGGAACTGGAGTAGAAAATTTATTAGAATCTATTGTTACACGATTACCACATCCAATAACTAATCGCCAAGCACCGCTCAAAGCTCTGATATTTGATAGTTGGTTTGATAAATATCGAGGAGCTGTAGTGTTAATTTATGTTCAAGATGGATGTGTAAAAGAAGGCGATATAATTACAACAGCATATTCTCAAACATCTTATACTGTTAAAAATGTTGGTATTCTAAGACCAACAGAATTTAATACAGGAACATTGTAAGTATATACTTCTTATAAAATATAAATTAAATTACAATTTTTGATTTTATAGAGTTGGCGGACAAGTAGGATTTCTTACATGTAACATAAGATCAGCAAAAGAAGCCCACATTGGAGATACTATTTATTTGAAAGATGAACCTGTTGAACCATTTCCTGGATTTAAACCAGCTCAACCAATGGTATTTGCTGGATTATTTCCTTTGGATCAATCATTACACTTGGAGATGAAAAATGCTTTGGAACGATTAACTCTCAATGATTCTGCTGTAAGCATTACTACAGAGTCTAGGTAACTATAATATTTAAAATATATTCTTTCAAATTAATTTTCAGAAAGTTATATATATATATATTATGATTATATCAATTATTTAATTATTTCAGCCCAGCTCTAGGTCTTGGTTGGAGATTGGGATTTCTTGGTCTCTTGCACTTAGATGTATTTAATCAGAGATTAGATCAAGAATACAATGCTCAAGCTATTATGACAGCACCTAGTGTAACATATAAAGGTATTTAAAAATCTAACCTTTTGATTTTTTTTACTTTGTTAATTATTGATTATTTAAGTGTATGAAATATTTCAGCTAAAATAACATCAAAACAATTAATCACAAAGTATGGTTCTAATGAATTCTACTTTTCGAATCCAATGGATTTCCCTGATGCAACAATTACTGAAGCACTCTACGAACCATTCATTCTTGGAACTATTATAACCCCCGGTATTAATAAGACTTAAATTAATTTAATAGTTAAGATTAATTTTACTATTTAAATAAATAATAGATGAATATTTGGGAGATGTCTTGTCTTTATGCATGGAAAAAAGAGGTGTACAAAAATCATCAATTAATATTGATAACACTAGAGTAATGATACAGTGCTATTTTCCATTAAATGAGATTGTCATAGATTTTCATGATACACTGAAATCAATTACATCAGGTTTTGGTAGTTTTAGTTATGAAGATCATGGATATGAACTTTCAAATCTAGTCAAAGTAATACAATATATTATTAATTTAATACTGATTTTAATTTTAAATGAAATCTTTTTATACATACAATATATAATAATATTTTTCCTTCTTAATATATTTACAGTTGGATATTTTGCTAAATGGGAATGTTATTGAAGAACTTGGAACTATAGTACATGCAAGTAAAGCTGTAAATCTTGGTCGTAAAATGGTATTGAAATTATTAGATATGATTCCTAGACAAATGTTTCAGGTAATATTATTATATCGGACTGATCATTTAATCATTAATTATAAACTAACAATTAAAACAACTTAGATTGCAATTCAAGCTTCAGTCAAAGGAAAAATAATTGCAAGAGAAAATTTAAAACCTTATCGCAAAGATGTAACATCAAAACTTGTGAGTTTAAGTCATTTTTATTGTTACTAAGATATATATAAACAGAACCCATAAATTATGTTTAATTTTTATAATTCATTATTATCTAATTATTTTCCATTTTCTTTTTCCTCTATTCTCTCCTATCTATTTTTAGTAGATCTTTAATTCCATGCATATTAACCCCACATTATTATACATTTCTTCAAAATAATCCGAATATGTATTACAAATGAAATATATTTAATTGAATTTGAACTAAAGCCAATTTATTTACTTCTTTACAGTGTGGAAAACGTGGAGGTGATATTACTAGAAAAATGAAACTCTTAAAGCAACAATCAGATGCTAAAAAAAAAATGAAAATGGTTGGAAACATTGAAATTCCTCGGGATACATTTATAAATGTTCTCAAACGATGATAATTTACTAGACATATTTAAATTATCTAATTATTTTTTTTAGATTTTATTGTTTGTTGTAATTTTTTAACTATAAATGTTAGTATAATAAATAAATTTAATTAAAATATTATTTTGTGTTTGCATTTTAGATTATAAACACTAAATAGAAGTAAAAAATGTGATATTAATTTTAGAATGGGTTATTTTTTCCTAAAATATTACTATTAGTTATATAAATAACATATTGGAAAAATGAATACTATTATAATTTATCAAACATATTTTATTCTTATTTTCATGATTTGTAAATTCATGCCCTAAAAAATGCCTAAATAAGCATGCACTTAAAATTGGCAAATATGCCTTAAAAAGTTAAATAATATGCATTTATATGCACTAAATATCTAAAATGATGCACTTAAAAAAATCATAATTAATTTTTGAAATAATATGAATTATCCATTTATTTATTTATTTTTTATAGCTATATTTTATAATTTTAAGTCTTAATTTTAAGATTTAAAAATTTAAATACTATTTAATACTATTCTTGAGACTTCATGAACAGCGTACAATGTACATATTTGTCAGTAATTAATTTTAAATGAAACTTTGGAAACAAATTTATTCATTAAATATATGAGTATCAAAAAAAATAAGAAAAGAAAATATAATACAATTTATATTTTAAATTTTATTTATATTTTCCATTTCGATTTTTGATAGATTGTAATAGAATGTTGTATAAATATGCCAAATATACAAAAATATGCAAAAACATGCAAAATAAGATTTCACATATTTAACCGTGGTACCTTGAAACGGATTTTTATGTCATCTAGCATTAAATACAACTTTGCAAGATTGATATGCAAATGCATGAACTTAAGAGCCCTGCTTATTATCATAGTTTTCAAGAAAATTGGGGAAAAATAATGAAATGTATTTTGATACTTTGAGTACAAATTATTGTTAAAATTAAATATTATCAAAATTTAACACTAGATGAACATAATATTTTTATGATTAGTATGTGATTAGCAATGCCGCAACTAAGATTTTGAGGCTCAGATGCAAACTAATTTTAGAGGCCCCTATTCATCAGTGGTTTTAAAATGTTGTCATTGATGAGCTTAGATAAATACTCCCCTCCACCCCATTTATCTAATCTCATCAATCTCTTCCAGCCCCGGTTAAAGACGGTATTTCAATTTTAGGTATCCGCTAAAAGTCTGTTTCTTTTAAATAATATATGTTTACAATACTTAGATTTTAAAATGTTTGTACTCCCCCATTCCTCTTTATCAAAAACTTTTGAAACCAATCGAACAACTTAATTTGAAGCAATGATTGGTCGTATTTTTTTATGTATTAAGAAATACATTGTTTTTCAAACAAACCTAGAAACACATTAATAAAAAATAAATCAATAGAGGCGTTTCATTCCTTTTAATCCTCTAATAACCATAAAACTCAAATGTTTGACAACTATTAATGAATTAACATTTTTCAATTAACAATTTTAAATATTATATTTTTTTATCTAATTGAGAATAATACTTTATTAAGTAATAAATATTTTGGCTTTTAGTTATAATGCGTATTATTTATTGGCTAAATAACAAATAATAAAAGAAAAAAAATTAATACAAAATAACGATAAGTAATAACATAAATAAAAAACATGTTTGAACAGCAAAAAAATTATTTAAGAAAATTATTTTTTCTTGCTATATCATTAGCAAAATCATTTATTATCTTATTTATATCCAATGAATTTGTACGGTTTCGCTCAATGTTTAAGAGGCTTATATTTGGCAGGCGAGCTTGTAGCATGGAGTCTCTAAGATAATTTTTAATAATTTTTAATTTGGAAATTGAGCATATTGCATTTGTTACTGTGACTGATAATGTTAAGAAAATAATACATCCATTGAAAATATTGTTGTACATATAGGCCATATCATTATCTAATAAATACTACAGGAGATTTTTTATGCTGTGAATTGTTTTTAGGGAATCTTTTAATATATCTTTAATACATTTGTCTAGTTATATCTGTACTAATATCAATTTTATAAAACATTTGAAAATCATAAGTTACCTTAACAATATCATTTTCACTATAGGTACTTAAAAATATTTTGAGGTACTTACTAGAAAATCAAATTTATTGGTTACTTCGTATAGATTTTTAAACCTTTCTTTGAGTCAAAAGATAGCTATATCAATAAGTGGTAAAAATACTTTTAGAATAAACATGACGGCGAATAGTTGGTTGGATTGGTATGCACCATATATTGCATTGGTCAGTTGTAGATGAAACTATTTCTTCATACTGATTTCTTAAATTTATCATGGAAATTGTAGCTTGATTTACAAATGCTCTTGCGTCATGAAGATGAGTATCTGTTCCTTGCAATTTTTTAGACACAAGATGAAAATTCCTTAAAATATTTTCCCATATTGTTAATTACAAAATAAATTCAAATGATTCAATTTTTTTTTGAGTCCAGTGGCCATTAATTTTTCATCAGGTTTGTTATTGGTCAGTGATATATTTGTTAATGGTTTTATTACAGCTAAAAACTTAATTTTTAATGCATATATAGCTTCCCAACTAGTATTACTTAATTTTTTTAAGACCAATTTAGCTTTATAATTTCTTAAAGCTAATGATGCCCTACCTAAGGACTGACTTATTAAAAATAAGAATATAGTATGTCTTCAACAATAACAAAAAATTGAGACATTTTAGGAGTGCTTTTAGATAAATCACACTACGCTAAATTTAAATTATGTGCTGAACAGTGAACATAAGAAGCTCTTGGAATTATGTCACTGATTCGTTTTTGAACGCCTGAAGAAATTCCACTCATGACAGCTGCCCCATCATAGCCTTGACCTCGACATTTATTCAAATCCAAATTGAATTCTTTTAAAATACATATTGTTAAATTCATATAGTTTTCTGCACTCTGTTTATCTAATGTAAAGAATCATTGGTAGTGACTGACTAAAGAACAATTAATAATTACGACTTTCGACTACCTATCTGTGACATGAAAATATCGTTTGGACAATTTATCCGTTTGATTTTGCCGTTATGACCGTTGTGTTGAATACGCTGTAGTACTATGTGTGTCTCTGTGTAAAAAAAGCTGAGTCAAAATGAGTCAAAAACACAAACCAGCTGGTACTAGTGATAGTAGTACTCTACTTAACTATGTTAGTATTAAACCAAAAATTCCAAAAATCAATGAAACACCCAATTCTCAAAAATTATTTGCTTCGCCGTCAACATCTGATATTGTTGGTAATTATGAAAATTTTTCTTCTTGCGACTTATCATTATTTGTCGATAAAAACTCAACGACAACGAAAGTATTCAAGTTTTACAAAATGTTTGGATCTCCAATAATAATTTTAATTTTCCTAATCAACAAATTAGCAATCTAAATAGGAAATTTAATATATTTTGGTTAAATAAACACAAATAGCTATCATATTCAAAAATTGAAGATAGTGCTTTTTGCGTATTATTTTTTCCTGCTGAGACTGGTTATAGTTCCAACCAATCACTTAATACTATATAATTGACTATTTTCCTTTATATATAATATCATATATTATAACTGTATAAATAGGTAGGTTATAGGCTATAGGCTATTATAGACATTGGGTTTAATTGAGAGTGGTATAGTACCTTTTCTTATTTTTTTTATGAAACATTTTAGAATACCAGTTATGTCCCACCCCCGCTTTTTATTTTCCAATTCAAGCACTAACTAGAGTTTAATATAGTGTTAATAAGCATGTTAAACTCTTATTAATATACCATATTTTTTTTAACTCTCTCCTTACTATAAAAGATAAATTAATAGTTGATACATACGACATATAGTATTATATTATCACAATTTGTTCATCCCTACATTGCATACATTTTATTAAAATTGATTGTAAAATTGTAAAATGTTATATGTAAAACATACCTATTGTTGATAAACAATAATTTATGTTTTAATGATTACTGTTGTTAATGTATAAAGTTTGGATTTAAATATAGTTGAAAAGACATAGAATTTAATTGTCATAATAGGTATAATGAGTATAAAGATTGAAAGAATATTCCAGTTTTCGTTTGTTTATATCAAGTCTATTCACTCTTCTAATAAATATGTATTTAATATGTTGCTGATTTCCTGGTTAGGTGACTACCTAAACAGAAAAACTGTTCTATAAATCAATGTGCTAGGTATTTAATTATTTAATTCAAGTGCTTTTACTGGTAAATAAAAATTATTTAATATTCCTATAAAATATATACTGTTGGTACCTATGTCAAATTAGCAAAATATTAATAACACTTGTATTACCATAATACCTCTCATTATAATATATATGTATTTTAAAAAGTATACATTGATTTAAATCAATTAAATTAACTTATTCTGAAAAAAATAAAATATATATTATTGGTGTACGTCATGCAATGTAGGGACAAATTAAAATATATTTTACTTTATTTTTTTGGTAGGTAGGTACTTACAAAATTACCTATATGCTATAATAATAAAAATTTATATTTTAATACCTAGGTAATACGTTTGATTTTGGTAAATTTCAATTGGTATTGACTGGTATTTGGTAGTGAATTCTGAATTATAATATGTATACTAGAAGAATAGAGAGTATATATACTCTCATATATGCACTAAGAGAAGAAAGATTAGGAAATAAATAAATGTTGTCGAAGAAATGCTTTCACACTCAAATTCATTGAAATATGAACTACCAAAAAAAGGCGAGGAGAATGGTTTGGAAATAAATAATTCAAATCTTATACCTTTATTTGAATATAATAACTTGACATCTAACTATAAGAACCAATACAATATTTCAAATGAGTTTCTATCAAATGTTTCAATTAATTTTTCATTATCAGTTATCAACACTTACAATGAGCCAACAGATACACATAAATTTAATAAAAAAAATTATTCAAAAATTCATCTAAACAATTTTCAGTTCAAGACTTCATAGCTACTTGGGCAATAGATTATAAAATTCCTCATAATGCAATTAATGGTTTAAAAATAAATAATTGTTTTAATAGTTTACCGATTGATTGTCGCACAATTTTAAACACTTTTATTAATAGATTAAAAGAAAACCGAATTGTCAGTCCTGGAGTTTATTATAATTTTTGTTTAGAAAATAGAGTTAAATTATATGTCCCATCGAATGTACAAGATATTAAAATCGCCATAGGAATTGATGGATTACCAATTTCAAGAAGTAGTAGCTCTCAATTTTGGCCAATATTAGCTTCCATTTCGGTTAAACCTCCACTCAAAAGATCAGTTTTTCTTGTTGACCTAAACTGGAGAATTGAAAAACCAAAAGACAGCAATGAATATTTCATTGATTTTGTTACTGAAGCTAAACATTTAGAAACCGAAAGTATTATATTGAATGGAATTAATATTAAAGTAAATATTGCATTATTTTTTTGTGATGCTCCTACAAAAGCATTTGTTTTAAAAGTGAAAGGTCATACAAGTTTTTATTCATGTACTCGTTACACTACAGAGGGAGAATATACATGTAATCGGATATGTTTTCAATGTTTCCCAAATAAAATCAATTAAAAGAAATCATCAAGCATATCTAAATACTGAAAATGAAGAATACCAGATTTCAAATTAAACTTCTAGTGTTATTGAATTACAAAGTTTCAACTCTGTAACATCTTTTTCACTTGACTACATACACTTGGTTTGCTTAGGTGTTTGTAAAAAACTCATCAGCCTTTGGATTAAAGGACAATTAAATGTCAGACTTCAGTCTTCAAAAATAAATGGAATATCAACTTCATTGTTAGCGTCTATAGACGCTAATTATATATATTATACTATTATTAAAGTATTATAATACATATCTTCTGATTTCTCTAGAAAGGGAAAATGTTTTCAAGATGTAACTATGTCGCTGGAAAGCTACTGAATTTCGTTTATTTTTACTATACACTGGAACTGTTGTATTAAAAACCATTTTAAGTGTAGAAACTTACACCAATTTTATGGTATTAAACATAGCAATGTTAATTTTGTTAAGTTCTGATCGAAAATTTCTTCTTCAATATGCAAAAGAATTATTGGATTTTTTCGTCAAGAATTTTCAAAATATTTATGGGCAACAGTTTGTATCACACAATGTTCATGCTTTATTACACTTATGTGATGATTATGATTTATTTGGGTCCACTTGAAAATTGTTCAGCATTTGATTTTGAAAATTACACGAAAGAAATAAAATCTACTCTTAGAAAAAATGAAAAACCTTTTGAACAAATTGTTAATAGATATTGTGAAAAATATGAAAAATGTGTACTAAATAATTCATGTAATAAACCATTAATGGACAATCAACTAGTTTTGAAATATGTCCATGATAATGATCCACTGGTTTATGGTTTAATAGGTCCACAATATTTCTGATCATAATGGTATCAAAGTTAAAAAAGTAATATTTTATGATGAAAATATTGAAAACACAGGTAACATAATATATGATTATAAATGTATATTTTAATTTTAAATAATTTGATAAATGTAAAATATATGATTCAAAAAAGTCATTGTATGCCATATAACTAAATTGTAGAATCAAAAGTATTCATATTTATTTTCTTTAGTTTACTATTGCTTTGAAAAAAAAAAAATAAAGTTTTGACATATTTATTCTAAATAAATATATATTCTATGTACCTATCCATGTAAATATATGAGTTAGGATGGGTTACACGGGGATACACATACTCTTATATTAATTAAGATAATTTTTTTATAATTCTATAGGATCATTTGGTACCACAACTGATTTAAGACTGTCACAATACACTAAAATTTTACAAAACCAGTCAAATATATCTGATGGTATGTGCACTATTTAGAAATATACTATCATAAGATATAATATAGTTATTGCAGCAATTAAATTATATTAGGCTAAAGATTAAGTTATTCATATTTTTTCGTACATCAAATATACAATTAATACATAATATATGCACACATTTCAACTTGAAAAAATTTAATTACTATAAATAAATTTTCTTATGATGGTTATTATAATACTTAAATTATAATATTACAATATTATTGGGTTTAAATGTTTATCAAATATTTAAAATTATTATATATTTAAATATTATGCAATCAACGTTATGATAATATTGGTAATATGTTGTTAGGATAACATCAAAATAGCTGCCAAATAATTTTGTAGTAATGTTACAGTAACATCTACAAATATTATTACAAATTATTATAATATTGATAAAATATTTTATTAAATATTACTGTTTTGTAATTAATATTTGTTTAACACTATAAGAAAATTCTTTTGCTGTCTGGGTAACGTATCCAGATACTTATGCCCGGTCGCACAAAGGGTCAATAACCAATTATTGAACCTTTAAGTTAGTCGAAGTCAATTAATCAAGTAATGAGTTAATTAATATTATTATATTAATTAATAAGTTAATATCCAATTAATTAATAGAATAGATAAAAATAAAATTAACTTGCATCTACTACATCGTGAACGGTAACGCAACAATATTGTTATCATATTGCTGATCACTGCCTCCAAAATTGATAGTACTTACTCGTTATTGTAATACAAAAACAATTTGATTCGTTGAATAAAATTATTTCTATAATATTGTTGTCAAATTTTGCCTGAAATACTATATATTACTTAAATATTAAATTTTACCGTCAAATTAAATGTGTTATGTTATGATATTTGTTTTAGTTTCTTATGATAAAAAAATTTTGTTTTTCATTATGATATTGAGATCTCTTAAAATCATTTGCATTGTGGTACTAAAATCTGCAATACTGATTGCAATTTTTCGAAAAATGATTGAAAAAGATTTATACCAATCCTTTGAACATAATATGAACTTATCATTTTGTGTAGTGTGTCTAAGAAATTATTCAACTTGTAACACGTTTGATTTCCAATTGGACTACAAACGACATGCTGATTATGATCAATATTTTAATTATGTATCGATGTTTGTTTTATCAACAATCCGTTTGATTAATATCTTGGTTAGCCAACCAAATCATAAAATATTCTTCGGTGCATTGGAATTCAAGAACGGTATTGTTGTACATACTGTAGCAAAAGTTTCAGGATATTATAATTCAAGCAAATTAAAACAAATGATAAACACCTCTACTTATATTGATCCAACAGTTCTTGAAAATGAATTAAACTTAATATTACCAAATAATGCAGATGACTATAGTCTATATATATGTTCAAAAAATGACACAAATTCTTATTCGTTGAAGTATAATATCTTAAGTTCAGTTATTGATGATAAAAACCGTAATAATTCTCAATTATGGTTAGAAGCATGGGTCGCTGCACATTTTAACGCTGAACCAGTAATTCTTAAAGTGAGTACTCATCATTAAAACATAACATTAATTGTAATAATATTAATTATTACAATATTACTAGTATTTATATAGATATTAAATGGATACCGCTATGCACCTGAATTATATGGAACTTGTAATCAAGTTAATTTTGTTGAAGATTGTGGATATACGTTGCAATATTATTACCATAAGTTGAATTTAAGTAACAGGCTGTTAGTAACTAAAGAGTTACTAAAATTAGCTTTAGAGCTCACAGATGGAACAGCTCATCCAAATTATTCATTTTATCTTACCGATTTAACAGCTGATAATATAGCTATTCAACTGGATGAAACCTCTGGAATAATTCAGTCACTGAAAGTTATTGACTGGAGTGATGTCATTATAGTTATTAATGATAAATATGTGCCAATAGATGATAACTGTAAGTAGTTTTATATTTTACAGAATCAAGTGACAAATTTATTCTTCGATATTTTGTAACACAATTTGTATTTCAACAGTGATGGTACATGTCAGTGAACATATAGATTGTGGATTGGCATGTTTGATTTATTCAAAAGAAGAAATATGTAAGGCAAGTGTTAGTGATCATAATGTTTATGCTGTTTGTAAAGTGAGTTTGAAATATATATCTACTATACATTTGTTATAAAAAAATAACTAGATAATTTTAAAAAATATATATTTTATAGTATATTTTACAAGTCATTTTATATACACAGATTATATACAGAAATTGTTAAGAGTAATAAAAAAAATATTAAAAGTTATATCTTAACGTACATGGTAAATAATTGAGGCGTTGACATGGAAAGGGTACTAAATCGAAAAAAATCAATTTTTCGTTTTTTCGATGAAAATGGATTAAATACATATGTCAATGGCATGGTAAAGGAATTAATTCAATTTTTTTTATATATTAGGAATTACGTTGAATACAAGATGACGTTAGTCGTTCTCCTGTAAAATTTGGTTTTTATGACTTAGTACCTTTTCCATGTCAACGCCTCAATTAACAAAGAATTTATTCGATATTGCTAGTATTGATCAACATTGAAAGAATACTAAATTATTGTATTATAACTATATTAATGAAGTCTGTAGTTTTTTTTTTCAATAATCAATTAAAGTGAATAAAAAAATTAAAGTTATAGAATTTTAGTGTACAAAATAATTTTATTTCACTGTGTCCATTTTACTAATTTTTGGAGACAAATTTATTGATTTCATTTAACTTAATGAATTAATTTAAATACAATTTAATGATGTATCATATACTTCTACTATACAAAATATCCAATGAGAATTCATAATTTTATTCATGTAAAATTTATAGTTTGTATATTATTTATGTTTAGGAATTTTTGAGCATTGAAGGCAGACTCTTATATGAGATAACTGATTTAGATCATTCTCAACAAATTCAAGAAAAAGAAATCCAAGAGCTTCGATTGTTAATGAAGCATTGTTTGTTGCACCCTGATGTCCAATGGAAGAAAAGTAGACTAGATACTGCTAAATCAATTATAAAAATTATCGAATACATTTTTCAACAAGATGTATATAATAATATTTATATTTATTCCTAAATTTTGAGGAATACTTAATTTGATATAATATTACATATTTTTACTGTGATAAGTTATAATATGATCAACTGCTGTCAAATTATATATACTTTTTTTATTTAACCTTTAACTGTGATACTGCAATAAGCAAAAATATATATTTTTAAATAGTTTTATTAGTCATGTTTTGAGTTTAAATATAAAACTATAGTAAAATGTTTGAACAATGCGTTCCAAAAAGTAAAAAGTAATAAATATGAGTATTAAATGAAAATCACTATTTTTATATATAATCAATGTATTGTATAAAATAATTATTAAAATTAATTTTGTATTTTATGTATTAATTAGGCTTTACATACAATTTTTTTTCTTGTTTCTTTAAGTAATATGAGTGCACTAAAAATAGACTGTTTATCAATAGAAAAATGCACCTTGGTTCTATTATACTAACAGAATTAATTATTTTAATTTTTATATATTCCCTTAGTTTTTGTAAATACATAGTTATTTACTACCAAATTCCTTTGAAACATAATATAAAATATTAATTTTATAAAAAGTACCATATTATATAGTTTAATTTTATTATGTTGTGAAAAAAGTATTTTTTAATATTTAAATGAAAGTGATCAAAATCATACATTTGTTCTTTATTAAAGATTACTATGGTTAAGATTTATATACAATAAAATAATAGTAAAATATGCATAAATTCATTAAAAATAGGCAATTAATATTTTATATGCTGGGAAATATTATTAAATATATGAATGTACTTAAAAAATAAACACATTATTAATACTAATAAAATATATTTTGAACTATTGATACAATTTAAATGTATTGAAGAACCAGAGTACATCTCTAAACGGCAATAATTAGACCAAAATTAACTTAATATATGGATATGAGGTATGGTATCCTCAAAAGCAGTATGGAACTAAAAATTATGTCGTTTTAAAACAAAATACAAAGTCATCTCCGGTCTAGTATAGAAAAACGAACTGGTATGCTGACACAGAAAAAGAGCAAAGGGATTCGACAATTAGAAGGAGTTTCAAGAATAACCAACATTGTGAATGCATAGAGAATCAAATGGTTTGGGCATGCAAAGACTCAGAATACCTTAAAATGATGGTAAAGTGGAATATCCACAGGGACAGACCAAGAGGGCATCCAAAGAAGCAATGGATAGATGAAGTAAAGCAGAACTTAAAGATAACAAGTTAGGAAGGAAAAGTAGGTGTCAGTAGCGGCAAAAACTCTTGAAGAGATGTGATACCAGTGAGAGAAATGTACCATATCACTTGAATATAAAACAATATTCTTTCTATTCAAGATTAATATAAATATGAAAAATAAACATTACTATTTGCCTCAACATGAGGTTATTTACAGAAAAAACAAAATATTAGAAGTTATTAGAATTAGAAGTTGTAAAAATTAACATACTGTTTCATATAAATTCCAGCCCTTAAGATAAGTTTTACCATTTGAATCAGGAGTGTTATTTATTTTTATAATATGGTATTAAGTATTAAAACATTTAAAAAAGTAATTTCCTTGCTATAAATTGTTTTATAGTTTATTATACAATATATTGAGGTTTTAATTATTAAAATATAATTTTTTTTTCAAGTAATTAATCAATTAAAATAATTGTATGGATATATGAAGTATAAATTTCTCATATACCCCATTAGTTACAAAAAAATACTATGAATATAATCATAAAGTTACTCTATAAATAACTTGTACTATTTATCATAGATTTATTTAAAATACATTTATTACAAATATTATATTATATTGAACATTTAAATTCAAATTTTTAAGTTCTGTTGATAGTAAACTGCTTCATTGTCAGCTCCGCATAAAAGTTGTTGTTTCTGTATATCCAATGAGTTGATGGGTTGATAAATTGGTTGTATTACATCATTAACTGTCAACCTTGTTTTCACCAAATCTGGGTTCGCCCAGAAGTTAGAACCCTCTAAATCTGCTTAATTAAAATTTAATTAGTCAGTTAATTTACTATGAACCATCAAAATAATAGATTATTAATCTATAAAAACACAAACCCGAGTTATTGTAACAAAGAAATGATTTTTTAGAACTCCATTGTAACAATCGTCCTCCAAATGAACAAGAAAATAAATTATCTGGTTCTAGAGGATGAAATACCAACTCACTTAGTGATGTTGTATCACCACTAGACATAGTTGTTAACAGACTATTGGTTCTCATATCCCAAACACCAACATCACCTTCTTCAGAACCAGTAAAAATGAAATGTTTTTGGCTAGGATGTTGAGCAATACAAGTAATAGGAACTTGAGTCTGAAAACCCAAAATTAAACATTGATAACCTAAAATAGAACATTTTTGTATCAACATTACCTGAGTGAAATTATTTATATCAGTTGTTATGTCATTTTTATTAACTCGTAAATCCCAAAGTTTCATTTGGCTTAATGCATTGCAGCAGAGTATTTCAGTTTCAGTTAAAAAACTAATGCAAGTTAGTGGTGAGCTGCTTATGTCTTCTATAATACATAATATTAATTTATAAGAGTTAATTTTTTTAAATTATCATATAATGCAACTACGCGTACAAAAAATGTGAAGATATTTGAATTTGATAGACCATAAAAGAAAGGGTTTAAATGTCTTCTAAAAATGTCTAAACTAAGATATATAATGTAAAAATCAATATGGTTTTGAAACTCAATATGTATATATTAAGATTATGGTATTGTAATCCATTAATTTTATTAAATGTATTTCAACACATTGCTTTTGGCATTTATGAGTAGTATAGTTAATTTAATGAATTCCAAAATATTTTGTATTAAAAAAAATCACTAATTTAATAATAGCTAATCATTATTAAGATAAAAAAATTATAATTATTAAGGAAATAATAGTTTAAAGTTTTCCAAACCAACTAAAAAAATTAAAAACCTTTCTAATTTATAATGAAAAAAAAAATAAAAATAAATTGTCTAAAAAATATCAATAATGTTTATTGATTTTTCTTATTTATAAAAAAGAAAACAATTTTTTTAATAATTTGATTTCTTAAAAGTATTTAATGAATCCATAATTAAATATTATATGTTTTATTATTTTATTAAAAGAAATTCTGATGTAACTAAGCTGTAAAAATAAATATATTATGCAATATTTATGATTTGAAATAAATCTAATAAATTAAAAATAATCTACATAAATGTTCAATATTTACTTACCTAAGACTTGATGAAGTTGTTTAGTGTTCAATGATAAAACATTAAGTTTATAATCATCACCAATTGTTGCAAATGAATAGTTGCAGACAGCAAGATCTTTGCAAGAGCTTCTTTCCCCTTTTCTATAAATATATAATTAATCTCACATTTTGTCTCAAAATACACTTTTTACATACAATTAAAATTAGTGAATTTAATTTACATAATAAAAATACATATTATATAAAATAATAAGCAAATCATACCCAAATGAGTGTAAAGATTCCCAAGCAGCAGCTTCTTGTAAATGAATTTTAGGTGCTTCATTTTCTCCAATTATACGATATACTTTTACTGATCCACTATCAGTACTTACAGCAAAAAATTTGTTATCTAAAAACTAAAATTAATATTAAATAAATTTATAAATGTTCGCTAAGTAGTGACGAGTAAAGATTTTATAAGCTGAGACTTCATTTAAAAAATTTGGATGATGTAAAAATATAAAAATATAACTACAAAAAAAAAAAATAAAGCTATCTTAGTATAATAAATATTTCACATTATTATAATAATATTAATTTAGGTAGACTTTAAATTGTATAAAATGTATGTAAAGTAATGTATTCAATAAAAAATTGCGGGAATTGGGAAGTATTAGAAAACCTGTTCCCCCATTGCTGTTGGTTTAAACAAGAAAAAAAATGTACAAGTAGAATAGCAACAATTTATAAGTAATAATAAATGCTTTTAAATGTAAAAACTTTTTAGAGCACATACTTGCATATCTTATTACCAAGGCTTAGAACTTTTTGCGCTAAAGAGTATTCAAATATGTATAAAAAATCATCATAATATGCAGTAAAATGTGGAAAATATACAAAAATATGCAATTTTTTGAATAAAATACAATTTACATAAATTAGGTTTACGAGGAATAAAAATTGAAAAAAAAAATCAAACACTGTATTGTTATGTTTTCCTGTTATACAAGCTGTAAAATTTTCATCTAACTTTAATCTTCTTGAGGATAAACACTGATGACTGATATAAATACTAATGATGACCATTTTATATTATGGTAAAATAATAATGTCTTGGTAAATTTAGATCAAAATAAATTTGGGCCAGTTGGCGATCAGTATTAAGATTTCTCAGTACAATAGAAATTATAATATCATTGGGAGTAATACTTAAATAGCCATTGATGAATTAGTTAATTTTGTCAATCGATATAAAACTATAATTTTGGTTGTCATATATCTAATTTTTTTTGTTGAACTATAAATTTGTAAAAAATAATAATAATTTAGTTGAATCTATGAAATATGCATATGAAAGTTCTTAAACCATAAATATACAAATTCCTACAAAAAAAAAAAAAAAACCGAAATATATAATATTATGTAACAAAAAAAATTGAATTTGTATTGAACAAGAATTTTAATATGCACTTTCTAAACAAATATGCAAATGCTTAAAGTTTTGAGCCTTGTTTATTACAATGCTTAATAAAGTTATAATAGTATTAAGATAAATATTTAATAAAAATACAATTTCAATATCCAGGATAATTTTAAATATATTTTACATAATTGCCTTAACCTAACAATGTTTTATCTATTCTGTGGTTTTACTTGAAAAAAAGTCCTAAAACTATATAACTGCATATACCATATATATTACTAGTGATAAAAACAATAAGACACATAACACATTTTTTTCTGTCTTACTAGATGTTTTTATATTTTTGCTATACACTATATATACTGTTATATATATGTAGACATTGTACATACAGATTTTATACTCATAGATATTGATATTGCCAAGTAAACAAATTGAAAACAACTTCTCTCAATTTCATAGTATGATTTAATGATAATTATTAGGGTTGGGATTTTACAGCATTTGCATATTTCTTATAAGATGATTAAAAAATAGCAGAGTAAGCTAAAAATATGTTTCATGATACAGAGAACTCAAATAAAAATTTTATTTTACTTTTTTTTTGCATATTTTGCGTTTTTTAGTTTATAGTACTTTTTTGGATTTTTTTCCTTTTACCTGTGTTTTAATCAAAATCAGGCATATTTTATGAAATTGTATTTTGGTAAACATGTTTTTTGATTTTTGTTAATCGAATTTTCAAGATTCAAAATTTTAATTTTAATTTTAAATTAAATTATACATGTATAGATTAAGTAAATAGACCGATTATGCTGATACAACTCTGTATAATTACAGCGATAATATTATTAATATAATACAATAATTTTGTCTTAGTTATTTGATTCTAATTTTTGTTATCTGATGATTTTATTGGTTTTTTTTGGTCGATTTCTATTAAATCTACTAATAGCCGATTATCAACGAACTAGTGTAGAATTCGCTTTATACGTCCACATTCGTTTCGTGTGCTCGTATAAAATTATTAAATAATGAATTTCCTTTTTTTTTTTTTTGTTTTTATTTCATATTTTTAGAGCTTATTTAGCGATTTTTAAGGTAATATTATACCGCATATTTATGAAATTTTAAGTGCTATAAAATCCCAACCCTGATAATTATACTATTGAGGAATGGTTAATAATATACTGTACATTCAACATGACTCAAAAGAAGACTAAACATCTCTACAAGGATGTTCTCCACTTGAAACTCTATGATGAACCATACAGGGCTCACAAACTAGAAAAATGTAGAAAAATGGGAAAATTTGGCCAAATAACAGATGCACAAAAAATATCATTAAAATAATGATATTTTTTTATTAAATTAAACTATTATCCATTGAAGAGTATGGAACATTCATTTATTTTGTCTTCGTAACAAGTTAAAATTATGTAAAATATTGCAATTAAAAAAAAAAGCTCATAATCGCTTAAAATCTAAAATATTGAAAAAAATATACATCATCATTCAGATATTATTCCCTTTAAGTTTAATGTCAATTTGCTCCAATATTTAGGGGTGGATAATAGAACATATAAATATGTTATATGTTATAAATATAAATTGACTGAATTTTTTCTTGAAATTCTACCCCCTTGTATATAATAATGTGAATAACTTCCGATTACATACCCTGATTTGTGTAATATCTCCATCTTGTTTTATCGAATCTAATAGCTTTGGAGGAAAATCTTTCTCTGAATTTTCATCTTCAGCGGTCAGTTCCCACAGTTCAATTGCGTTGTCCTGCAATGCAAAGTCTATGAATACAAAGTTTACATTGGTAATAATGACATTACCTGTCCGTTATCCCAAGATCCAGTAACAAACAATGACGAAGACATCAGGTCTTCTGGCTTCCATCGCACTTTATTTACTTTTCGTCCGATATACTCGGCAAACGTACCCAATTTACTCATTGCGGTTAACCAACGTTTGGACGATTTCGTATAATTTGCAACTGATTAACGACACGAATAAAAATTGAACTTTTCCGTTTTGGTATTTCAAATTTTGCGTTCCGCGTGCAATGCTGTTAGCGATGATAATATACAGCGTCCGGTAGTGACTGATAACGATTGTGACCGTAACTGAGTTAGTGTGTGCACGATAATAATTGTACAACGACCGTGCACGGCTCGATGGAAGCGCAAGTGGTTAGTCTGGCGGCCGCTGCATAACGGACAGTGGCGTCGCGATGCGGGCTCTATTATCATTATTTTATCATCGCAGGCGGATTGTGTTGTTTTATTATTTTTGTTGTACGAGCTATTGTTTAATTGTTGTTGACAGATTTTCGGCGTAACATTTCTGCCGGTGTCCGTAGAAAGTGAAAACGATGGGCAAACACAAGAAGGCTATTAGTTCTGACGAATCGTCGGACTTTAGCGACGATGTAAGTATCGTTGTGCACTTGCGCCGGGCTTGTAGGTAACGCGTTTGCATGTTTATATTCTACTCGCGTTTTTAGGATGTTAGTATGTCCAAGAAAAAGAAACGATCGAAACCGTCTTCGCCGACTAACCGTAACCATAAGAAAAAAACTAAAAGGAAGTCGAAAAAACCGATCTACGATTCAGATTCGTCATCGCTGTCTGAAGGAGAAATAGTCGACGAAAAACCTCAAAAGAAACAAACTGTTAAAAAACGATTAACCAAAAAATATGATGTATCCGACGAATCAATAGAGAGTAGTGATGATTCCGATTCTAGATCCAGAGTTCAAGAACAGAGTAAGTGTACTATTATACTGTTTAATATTTTACTTAATTTTACTTACAAAATAATAAAGTATACTGTTATTATGGTATTATTGTATAAATACATTTTATTAATTCCTAATTATTATTTATACTAAATTATATCGTAATGTTCTTGACCATATTGGCCTAAGTAGTATTTAAATGTTTCGTCTCAAAAAATTGATATTCTTAAAACTATTATTGTTCAATCTTTTACTAATATTTAGTAGAGAGCAAGGTTAAAAAGGGAGAGACTATGGGAGCTAAAGCTCTCTCCCTTCAACATTAGGTAGAACCATTGGACGTAGTTACTTAAAATATTTAAAAAATTAGACATAAAAAAAACTTTGTACAAATTGTCATACACAACAAATTATGGTTGTAACTCACTTTTCTAGCCCTCCTTTTTTTCATTTCTAGATCCATGCCTGATACAGAATATTATTCTAATAAAAAATATTGTTAAAGTATTCAAAATGGAAATAATTAAAAATATGAATCATCAAATTGTTTGTTAAAATATCATTTAAACCAGTGGATTCCAACTGGTAGTCCGTGGACTTGTCTCAAGTAGTTAACGATGCCAAAAAATATTTTTCAATACTATCAATTTTTTAATATTAAAATTTTGAAAAAATGAGGGAAATAGTAATTCATATTATTTACAGCTAGTGTATGTAATTTTTCCATCATAATGTTAGTGTCTGACAGCTAGATATACTTATGCAACTGATAATTAATATTTTACACATATACACATATAATTGTACAAATATTATGATAAATAATGATCTGATTTTATATTTTACATATTAATTATGAACTATAAAAGTAGAAAAATATAAGTAATATAAGAGTGGGGGAGGGATAATAATAAATTAGTAGTGGTTTGTGACGTTGAAAAATGTATAAATGTAGTCTGTGCATAGTGTGAAGTTGGAAATCACTGATTTAAACCATGAAATTAATTTATTAAAAATATATCTAACATAAGAAAATTTAAATATAAAAATAGTTTGAGATAGAAGTAAGTTTTACTGTTGTACATTTTTGGGTTTACATCTCTGATTTAAATTTGATGAAAAAAATGTATGGTTTTATAATTTATTTATTTTATTTATTAAAAAAAAAATTTTAAATAATAAAATATCTCAAATTTTATATCTTAAGTTATAAATGTAATATAAGTTCTTTAATTTTCAAGGTAAACTTTAAGGGAAAAAATAATTTTAAATAATTATACAACATTAGAAAAAATGCAAAATAGAATTTAATAATACTAAAAGTTTGTCACTATTTTGATGTTATCCATATCTAAAGCCACCCCACACTCAATATGATCTGGTCGGGCTGACAGGATAATTTGATCAGGTCATGTGTAGACGTGTCATCTGACCATGATCCTGTCAGGTGTTATTAGGTAGTCGTTCCATAAACTCAACTTAATCACATAATGTATAACACTGTCGGACGTATTTTACTTATTGGTTGACTTTTTGACGTTGTTTATTGTAATTTGTCTTTGTGGTTACGAAATTGTAGTTAAACGAAAACCAATCTTCATGCAGTCGCAGAACACTGCACTAGTGGAATTAAAATTCATCTGACAAAGTCATGTCATCTGTATACAACACCTGATTTGGTTAAACCCTCTATTAGACCAACCAGATCAATTGTATGGGAGGGCTTGAATACATTGATGAAAAAAACATGATTTATAGATAAATTATCTACCATCTTCTATTAATTTTATTCTTATAATTAGTAATTTAATATATGAAGAACTTATACTCTACCTAACAATTTATTTAAGATTTAATGGTTTTTATTTTACAGAAATATCATTAATTATTTTATTTTTTTTAATAGTTAGTGAATCTTCAGAGTCTGAAGAAGAATTTAATGATGGTTATGATGACGAGTTAATGGGTGATGATGAAGACAAAGAACGTCTTGCTCTAATGACTGAAAAAGAACGTGAAACGGAAATATTTAAACGTATTGAAGCCAGAGAAACAATGAAAACAAGGTAATTCAAAATTAAATAAGTATAATAATTGCTATTTAACTATCCAAATTATAGATTTGAAATTGAGAAAAAGCTTAAACGAGCAAAAAAGAAAGAAATGAAAGAACAAAAATCTTTAGAAAGAAGTATGGCTTCTTACAAATCAGAATCATCTAACACTAGTTCTGTGCCTTTAGATCTAAAAGATCGAGTGAAAGAAAGAAAAAAGAATGTTGAAGAAAATAAAGGCAAAGGTGATAAAAAAGCTGCCATGAGCCTGCTAAAAGCTAGACGAGAAGAAAAAAAAGAAAGAGGTACATATAAAATTAATTATAATGTTATTTATGGAAAAGTTTATGTGTTTAATAATTTAGTACTGAAATGTTTAATATTCGGTATTTTCAAGTAAATATTTTTAAGTATTTAATATTATTTTATTTAAGTTTGTTGACCATAAAAAACATAAAAAACCTAATAAATAATAACTAACTTATTACTAATTCACTAACTGATTAAATTATATTAGAATATTTCATTTTTTCAGAAAATAATCTACTTTAAAATGTGATGTAAATGTATTTGTTGCTATTTTTAAAAATTAAAAACAATTAAAGAGGAATGCACACTATGTGATTCGAACGTCACGATTAATTTCTCGAATTAAACATGTACTTTTCAATGGGTTTATTCACACGTAAATGAGACGTATGTTCGGTCGCGTTCGAATGCACCGAAACCGGCATATTTAATTTTGAATGTTATTTAACTATAATTAAACAATAATTTCCCAATGTATTTACAATGCATTCTCATTTTTTGATCACTGGCTTTTGGACGCCGCGTTTATTTTTCGCTCACTCATACTTTGTACCTTCAATCTTGTATAATATCCATACAAATAGTAATAATTTATATTTTATAAAGATGTTTGACACGGAAGAATAATACGATAATATTTAAAAAAACTCTTCTGGGTGACTACGTTGAGTCATAAACGTCATCTGAAACTGACCATTTTTTGGTCTTTTTAGATTAATCAGATGTACCCAATGTCGTCTCTTTATTCTTTTTTGTTTTTGTTCATGTTCTTCGTTTAGTGCAAAAATAACACATGCAACTTCTATATCGTTTAATCTTACCATATTTAGAAATATTAAACGAAATAAAAGTACGTGAAGTAATGTGGTCATGTACGATATACAGTAACAACAAGACTAGTATATAACAAAATACAAAGTATTGGTGCGGTTATCTTTGAAAAACGCGCCTAATAGCAGGCCATACACAGAAAGTTTTCCCGTCAGTTTTGAAATGACATTCCAAAGCTGTCGATCAGATCGTCAGTTCTAGTCCGTCGCGGTACAAAACTTTTGATACCCATTCACTGTCATTACAAATCTGCCGAATTAGCCCGCCCCCTTGGAATGTAACGTGATATGTACTAGATATGTAGGTATATGTTCAAAACTGTTAATTTTCCTGCGGTTATGATGTGTTGATAGATCTTTTGTCATGTTAGAAATATTTTTTGCCATTCCTATGGATCAGTACCTAACATAGGCGGTACTAGACCTTCCTGGCAGGGGGGCAGGAAATACTTTAAGTAAAATATTAACACTATTTCGTCTAAATCTTTAGACTAGCAATACTATAAAAAAAGTATTTTATTGATAACTATTTTAACTTATTTCAAATAAGATTATTTTGTAAAATGAATAATACACTTACAAATACCTACATTTATATTATTTTATCTTATAAAATTTTAAAATAATAACTTACCACAATTTACCTATGATGGTTCTCATAGGCGGACCCAGAGTGATACATTTGAGTGTGCCCTGTCATTTTTTCAAAATGTAAAGGATGTGTAGACCGTGTTATGATTTAAATTCTAAAAATAAAGGCTTCGTTAATGACGTAAAATAACGATTGATAAAATATACACGTAATTATTATTTCAGACTTATTCTGAACACTTGTAATATTACTTACAAAAAACTAAAATTTAATTAATGTGTATGTGCACATATATTCTCAATTGTAATTATTCAATTTTTTATTCGCATTATTTACATTAGGGTGTGCCAAGGCACACCTGGCACACCCCGTAGAGCCGTAGAGCCGCCTATGATGGTCCTTGTATGAAAAAGTCATATAAAGTTTTTATTTTTTTACTTTGGTTTATGTTTATAATTTTTAATTATAATTAGTATTATCTAAAAAATTCAAGAATACTAAATTAAATACACAATTCAAATCAAAGTATAAAACCATACAAAACGTTTGTGATACAGATAATAATAAAGTAATAATATTTGTTCATGATTTGTCAACGATAGAAATAAATTATAATAATATTGAAAATGTTGACGCAAAAAATCTTATCAGCATATTTACATGAATGGTTCCCATGGTTGTAGATAATAATATTATTACTTACGACCATGCAGACTCTAAATAAGCATGTAATATGAGGGGTTACCAACTAATATTTGAAATGTATAGGAAGAGTAAGAACTTGCAGGGGGGCAGTCGCCTACTCGTAGGCGCCTCTCGTAGTACCGCCTATGGTACCTAGTATGTAGTTTGCTTAGTAGTGTGTTCCCGATATAATTATTTATATAATATATAATTTGACGTTATACCTAACTTATCCACATAAAATGTATTAAAACAAAAAAAAGAAGATTGCAATAATTGCAATATAATTATAATTATTATATGTGCTATGGCAATCGTTTAACTTTTCAGCTGCCATAAACAATTATATTGTTTATAGCAACTAATAAAATCTATGAGCAACTCCTTACTCCATTTAGAATAAGACATATCAGAGTTATAAAATAAAAATAAAACAAGTACAAATTTTAATTTAAAAAAAAATTAATGACACCATTAGGAGCATGTTGATTAGTGTTTACAACTTAAACTGTATACTGTGACTGTCCATACACGTACAAGTCAAATAATAATTTTAATCTTCCAAAAATATCTTGAGCGATAACGTTCGATTCCCGGTCTGTGATATTTTTATCCCATATACGTACATAACAATATAAGCGATTTGGTCTGTGAAGGGACAAATCCGACAGTTAAACCTTCCGTGTATGGCCTGCTATTGTGTAAGCGAAGTGCGTTCAAATAGCTCAGTGTATAATTAGCTTTAATCAGTAAAATTACGAATTTTTATTCTTCATATAATCTGAATAAGTATCTTTTATGTAAAAATATTTTTTGATGTTTAAGATAAATTATTCTTCAATTTCTTTCAATAATTATTGGCATTTTATTTATTTATTTATATAAACGCTGCGTGGGCTTAAGTACAGTACATTAATACATGAATAATACAGTTTGTATGTAATAAAGTAAAAATAATAAAATAACAATAATTGATTTAATTAGGTATTTACATTTGCTTAAAAATTATTTAAATACAACTATAAGATATAGATTGTATTGGAATTTCATATTAAAATTACTTTAAGAATGCTAAGCTTTTTGTATTGAATATGTTAATATTTATTAAATTATTGCATTTATACAGTCCAATATACCAATTTTACATATATATATTATTAAGTTATCTCTAACAGAAAGCTGTTAACAAATTGATACTATTGGCATACAAACCGATTTATTTCTTTATGTTAAATGATTTTTTTTCCATTCAGTCATAGATTAATAGTAAGTCAATTTTGACAGTTTGTTTCAATTATCTTCAAAATTGACTAGTGCTATAGAATTAGCGAATTTGAATAATTTTCTTTTTAATAAATGAGGTAGGTATTGATTAATATATATATATATGTATTAAAAACGCTAAAGGTCCTAATGATGTACCTTTAGTGACATCATAATATTTGACATAACAATAATTACTGTAATGAGATCCAATAATGGTTAGTTATTCTCTGTTACTCAAATAACTAGTAAACCATTTTAATATATGGTAAAATCCTAAGTTTTTTAACTTGTTAAGTAATAAATGTCTACTGATTGAGTCAAATGCTTTTTCCAAGTTCGAGAAAGAAATAAGAATTTTTTTTTTTTACTACCTTTTTTCTTATGTATAAAGTTATTTATGTAAATTAAAGTGTACAGAGAAGATTCTGTTCCAAAATTTTTTCTATGTTTAATTTTTTAATTTTTTCTTATTTTTTTTTTATTGTCCATCAAATATTATTTTATCTCTCTTTAAGTATTCCAGTAGTTGTATTTTTATTGTTTTTTCAAGAATTTTAATTAAATTCCTATTGTTTATAATCAGTCTATAGATTATAGTCTATAGTTTATACCTAATTAGTGAAATTTGTTTATCACCTTTTTTATGAATCTGTATTGCTACTTTCAATTCAAAATCAGGTACTGTATCATTTCTTATACTACAGTTTATTATGTGTACAATAGGTCATATCATATTGTCTCCTATTTGTTTAAAAAATAGTGCTATACAATCAGCACCAGAAACCGAGTTTATGTTGAAATTTTAATATATTTATTACTTCATAACTACCAATGGTTTTAGTTTGAAATTGTAACCTGTGTTAGATTGGTTAATAGTATCCTAATTTAGGTTGTATATTATTTATGTTGTTGAGAAAATCGTGTTCTACTAATTTATTGCCTGTTGTTGTGAAATATGAGTTTATTATATTTAAGTTGTTTGTTGAAGTAGTAAGTAGTAGGTGTTAAATTCGGATATTTATCTTCTATAATTTCATTAATTGAAAGCCCAGCAGAATTAATTATTTTCTCTGTTAAATCATTAATCATTTTTCTAATTCCCCGTCCATTAACTTTAATTGCTTCAATTTTTTTTGATAAAATATTGTTTTTTATATTCTGTAATATATTTATTAATGTGTCATGTTAACCGTTATGCAAAACTATTTTTATAATACAATGATTTATTTATTATTAATTTTATATAGGTACATTATTATTTTATTATCAGAGAATGATCTGATCGTATTATATTATTAAAAACCAAATCTTAATCTCTTCTGTATATAATATGTATATTTAGTACATTTCATATTGTATTAAAAGTTGGAATTATTATTCAATACAATAAATATTGATTCAAATAATTTATTTGTACCAATATTTAAATACTAACAAATCAAATAACTTTTTTTTTAAAAAAAAAGTTAAAATTTACCAAAGTACAATAGATCACTTACAAAACAAAAGTGTGTATTATCATAATATATACTGTTATTTTCATATACTAATGTATACAATTACTTAAGCATTTTTTTTATCAACGATTGTCAATATTAGTTTTGTTTGCTTTATTCAACAAATTTATTTGTTAATAACAAAATTAAAACAATACATACCTATGTATAAAGTACTTAATATTATGGTTTATACTTAATTAGTTTATATTATTATATTTTTAGAAGAAGAAAAAGAAAAACAACAAAAAAAAGACAAGGAACAAAGAGGAGAGGAAGATGATGAGGAGACAAGTGATAAACAAACTGATCAAAATCGAACCAAATTGAAAGCTTCTGATATTTATTCTGATGATAGTAATTCTTCAAGTGATTCTGGTTCAAGTGAATCTATAAAAAAAGATCGTAATTTCCAAGACTCTGATTCAGATACTAAGTAATAAATTAAAACAAATTACTATTACCTTAAAATTACAATATTAATTTTTATATATTTATTTGATTTTTAGTGAAAAAAAGATACATTACATTACGAAACGAGATGAGTTAAATAAAATAAGATTATCAAGATTTAAGATGGAAAAGTATGATTTAACTCAAACATTTTTATTATTTTATTAATAATATTTTATATTGTGTGATTTTAGATTTGTGCATTTACCTACATTCAAAAAAACTGTCATTGGATGTTTTGTTCGTATTGGAATTGGCAATTATAATGGAATACCTGTTTATAGAGTATGATATTATATATTAATTTTAATGCATGTAAAACATATTTTATAACTTAATTTTTAAAAGGTTGCTGAAATCTGTGATGTTTGTGAAACCGCTAAAGTATATCAATTAGGAAGTACTCGTACTAACAAAGGATTAAGACTTAGGTAAAATTATTTATTATTTGAATTTATGAAATAATCAATTATAAATTATATTATTTTACCATAGACATGGGACCAATGAAAAAGTATTTCGTTTAGAATTTATTAGTAACCAAGAATTTACTGAGAGTGAATTCATTAAATGGAAAGAACTTTGTTATATGAATCATATTACACTACCTACATTAGAAGAACTTGAAACTAAGATAAAAGATATTAAAGCTGCATTGGCTTATCAATTTAAAGAAGAAGATGTTGAAAAAGTATATAAAATACCGCAAGCCTTTTTGAACATAAAATAATTAGGTAATAATAATGTTTTTAGATAGTTCGTGAGAAAGAGCGTTTCAAAACAAATCCTCATAATTATGCAATGAAAAAAACCTCATTAATGAAAGACAGAGATGATGCACAGGCATTGTGAGTATTAAAAATAAAAATTTTATGTTTAATATTTGGTTATATTTTAACTACAAATTTTAATTATTTTTTCGTTTAATTTGTATTGAATTTTAACATAAAATTATTTAACTTTTTGATTTAAAATATCATCTAAAAATTTGATTATATTTAAAACAAAGGATGTTAGTTTTCAATATATCTTGAAATGTAAATTAGATTTTAGAGTAAAATTTATTTTTATGCTAATAAAAACCTTTCTGAAATCATGGCATTTTATTGTTTGACTTGATTCAAGTATCTCGTTGTAAAATATCTTTACAATTAATTTCAATACTAAAATTATATTTATATTCTAAATTAGTAAATATTTCAATCGACTAGCTTCTATAGTGAAAAAAATATATTATTAATGGTTTTGCTCATTTTAGATTAAACTGTATATTTTTAGTAAGAATTCAAATCTTAGTGAATCTTTAATAACAGTGTGGATAATTATCATTTACATGGGTGTATAATAAAAGTATAAGACATGGTAGCCCAGTGATTTCATGTCAACATTCATCTCATAAGAACACAGACTCAAAACTTGTATAATTGTTTACTTTTTCACTAAATGTTACACCTATGATTCTCCATGTCACAATATGGGACCGATGGAAAATCGGAACTCCAGTCTCGTGCATGACTGGCGGAAATATTACTATACTAATAAGAATGAGAATATCAAATTTTAATATTGTTTTATGTATTAATCTTTCTAGAGGCAAAGTAGATGAAGTTTTGAAAATTGAACAACAATTATCAGAGTTAGAAGAGCGAGCTAATCACTTAGATAAAATGAGAACAAGTACTATATCTAGTATAAGTTACATAAATGATAGAAATCGAAAACGAAATGTTGAAGAAGCAGAAAAAGCAATTTTGGTACATTTTAGCAAAATTCAAATTATATATGTAATTAACATTAGATAATAAAGTCATGAATTCGTTATAATCTTAGGAAGAACTAAAGGCTAATAAAGGCAAGAAAATAGATGATCCATTCACTCGCAGAAGTACCAAACCTTGCATGAAATTTAGAGCAAAACCAAATTCTGGTACTGACGGTTCAACAGTCCCAGATATGGATGAGTCTAAAAATGATATGGATTCTAATGATGCAAAAGTCAGTATAAATATATTTTACTCTTAAATAATATTTTTTATAACAACATTTAATATTAATTGTGCTTACTGTTTCTAGGATACTGATGGAAGTTCAAAAAGTAGTACATTAAAAGCTGATGATTTGTATGCTGTACATGATTTTGACATTGACTTGAATATTCAACTACCAATATAGGTATAAAAATAATTAATATTAAAAATAATGAGTGTGAGTTATTTTGTAAATATATTTAATTAAAATTACTACTGTAGAATGCCTTACACTTTTTTGTTTGTCCGTGAATTTTTATACTTGAAAATATAAAATTGATCAGTTAATATTTAAAATTTTTACTGTATCTACATTAGGAGATTTATGTAGACATTCTTGTACCTTTTTTTATGGCTTATTCTTTGTAATTATGTGAACTCGTAAATATTTTTGATTCTACATAGTCTATTATTGAGAGTTCATTCTCCCAATAACAGATATTAATAAAACATTTTCAAATTAATTTAAATACTTAACTAGCAAAATTTGGTTTTAACTTATAATTGTTACTTAACTACATACATTTTTGATAAATTTAATTGTAATGTATTAATTTAAGATACCTTTTAAATTGTATATTTTGTAATCCTTTCTTTGTTCCATATTATTTAATATTTTAAGCATTGAACTGGAACAAGTAATTCTTGATTTTAATGATAAAGTTGACAAAAATAATGTAACTAGTTTGTATCTGTTCATCATAAAATTTAATTGGAAATTGTTACATATTTCAGTTAACCTTATGATATAATTTTATATATTTTTTTAATATATTCAAATTAATCTATTTTTCCTAGTACAAAATACTCATTAGTTGTAATATTAAAATTTAAAATTTTTGTTCAAAGAAATATACTAATTTTAAAAAGTTTTTTTTAATTTATAAATGCTAGAAATAAGGTTAACCTTAAGAATACGCCAATATTAATATTCAGTCTTACTAAAAATTGTCTAATTGTTTGGATACAGTTATTTAGGAATATAATTTAAGTAATGAATATATTGAAAATGCATTATGATATAATGAGCTATTCTCAAGTATAATCAACTTACTCAATAAATTGTAATCGGATATATGTTACTTGTTTATAGTAAATTGTAGAACTTATTCTAAAATATTGTATCTAAATACTAATTACGATTTACTTTAAAAATTGAATACAAGGTACAAATTACGTATTTGGGTTACATAAAAATGTATAATAAGAATATAAGAAGACAGATAACAAGTGTATGACTTGCACATCACAAATATTTTAATAAAACAATTGCATTTTCGTCAATATTCAAAAATTTAATTAATAAAAGTTTATTTTTCATAATCGCAATCATTAATATTCTAGACCAGCGATTCTTAACCTTTTGTAGAACACGGGCCCCTGATAAAAGATTTTTAGAAATTGCGGACCCTCTTACAATTTTTTTTTTTAGAATTCATTTTTTTTAAAAAACATTTCATGTTATTAAAATCAAAATTATAAAAAATATTTTATATAATAAATTATATCAGTAGACATATAAAAATATACATATTATACATTTTTTTATTACAGTTAATTTTTCAGTAAATTTAATTTTAATTATTTTTTCTAATACTCTTAAAATTTAATTTTTATTAACTTAATGTGACTGTTGATGATATACTTACGAGTAAGATATAAGTTTTTGAATATCATATGAAGATTGTATAATAAAAAATATATGAAAAAGAAATTAATAATAATAATAATCCAACAATATTATAATGATGCTCTCGTGTCACGTATTGGCGTAATTTATATGTTAGGGCTGTCGCGGACCCCCGAAATAAGTATCATGAACCACAGGTTAAAGACTGCTGTTCTAGACAAAAAATATATGCAATAAATATATTTTTTTTTATATTTAATATTTGATTCCTTTATATTTGTAAAATTACCAACATTTATTTCATTTTCACTTCCAAATTCTTTAAAATTCTTGACAAAATTTGAACCATTATTCGTGACTGTTGAGTTTATTAGTTGAGAATTTAAACAAGTTCTGAAAATATATCTTCTAACATTTCAGACAATTTTGTAATTTATGTGGGAACCTGGGAATTTGCGATAAGTTAGTTCAATTAAATCCATAAATCCATGTCAATTAAATGTCTCTTAGTCTATAATAAAAAGTGTTCGGGCCGTTATACATATAGAGTAATTGAAGGGTCTGGTGCAAAAACCAGGTATCTCCACTTTTTGAAATTTTTCGGGAAAAACAAATAACCAAATAATTTAATATCTGATGGAGGTATAAATATTGTAAAAATGTATTTGAATTCTCCAAACGAAGATCCAACTATACATATATATATATATATTTACATTTTAGATTACCTATCCTAAATACATTATTTTATAAGTACAAATAAAATAACAAGAGATACTTGGTTATTGTTCCGAAATAAAAATTTTTTTTCCGTATGTTGATTTAATAACCAATTATGGAAAAAATATAATCACAAGTAAAACAAATCAGTGCAATTTTAAAACTCTGTATGATAAGCTATGTTATATAACACAACAATGAGAAAACAAAATTTTCTGAGATACCTTATTAAGAGGATGTTACACTCGCATATTTTGAGGTCAAAAACAAGTTTTACGCGAGCACATTTTAACAGAACAATATACACACTAGAAACTCTTAATTTTTACACACCATAGACAAAAAGTTTATCTGTGATGTAGTGTTTATATAATTTTGATTTAATAATTATGAACAAAGTAATTAAAACATAAACTTCCATGATGTGTTTTTCAAATACTTATAAACATAGGCGGAACTAAGGTTAAAAATCTGTGGGAGCTTAAAACTTTTACAAGTCTCATTTGTAATCAAACAATATTCTACCTTCTCTCCTCATCATCTAGTAATGGCTTATAAAGGATTTCTTTAAAAAGAGATGAGACCAAAGCCCAAAACAATAATATAGGTACTAGATATACAGACGTGTTATATTTTATTTTTTTGTTCTTAATATATTATATACATAATAGAAATAATATACATATTTACTAATTTATATTAGTGTAATACGTCTATTCATTTTTGAAAACCTATCAACAATGCCTTGAGTATCAATCGTATTACTAATATATCTTTCTATACTTAAAATAGATAAATAATTAAATCTTTCTTCTCCCATACTATTTCTCTGCCAATTTTTAATACGCCTCTTCAAGGAAAATGATCATTTGCACATTGCTGAACTTATTATAATGGTTATAGCAATTTGTAACAACTTATACAAATTTTGGTAGATATGTTTTACAATTACATCTTCAAATCGTTAAAATCAAAATCATATTTTTTAATTTTTAAACAATTGTAAGCAACAACCATTTCAGACATTAAACTGTCAATTGAAATATCCACAATATCCTAAAACGAAAAAAATGATTATGATAGTTATAAATCTTCTTACAAATAATTAACTAATTTAATAATTAGTTCAAATAATATATTATTTTAGTTTCATATCATAAAATATTAAATTATGATCTACATTAGTTTGATACCTTATAATGATTAATGGAGTACAATGAATTTGTATAATCCAAATTACAAAATAAGTCAATTAAATTTGCCATTGATAAACTTTCATCTGAAAATCTGTACTTTAAATTAGTAATTACAGTATCCAAGATGCGCATATATGCCACATTTTTCCAAAACGTTTCAACTGAATTTGATACTTCATGTTCTGAAGCTGAAACTTCTACTTTTGTGATCGTTGTTAAAACGTAATCATAGAAGCTTACCAAATAAATGTAGAAACATTGTAGTATTACATTATACACTTTATTATAAAAACATATTAATATACATTATATAAAAAAATCAACCAACCATTTGATGGAATCTATAAACATACATAATTTTTTTCAGCTATATGCGTTACTTTTTTCCACAAATTTAAAAATCCATCATCAGATCTTAAGTTTTCAAAAGTTGTTATTACACCAATAATAACATTTTTAGATGTACTAAGATTTGCAGTTCTATTTTGTAAAGTATTACTTAAAATATTTATAATACTCAACACTACTTTTAATGATAACTAAAAACTCACTTTTTTGGATTGAAATCAAAATTCCTATAACAATATTTAAAAAACATTTATATAGATAGGCATCACTAAAAATTATTTTTTTAACTATTATTTACCTATAACTTGAGCGACATCTTTATCTGCTTGTTATTCTATTTCATTATTTGAAAAATTGACTCTAGCTGTATAATTGTTCAGTATAGTTTCACAGTTCTTGTAACGACAAACCCACCTTGTGTCGCAAATTCTTAAAATATTATCTTTTTTAATCCTAGTTTTGACTGGATTTCTGATAATTTTAAATGGTTAGGACGTAAAAAGTGAACAAATACAGCTTTTAACATATTACGAGCACTCTAAAAACGTGTATAATAAAATAATTAATTTATCAACATTTAAAAAAATAATATTGTAAATACATTTTTAAATTCTCAAACTTTTATGTTTTTACACATGTCTACTACAATTAGATACAAACGATGTGCCATGCAATGGGTGTATATTGCACTAGGATATAATTCTTTAATTTTTGCTTGCACACCATTAAATCTCCCAGACATTACACTCGCTTCATCATAAGACTGAACTACTATTTTAAGAGTACTTATATCAATATTTTGAGCTTCAAAAATAGTTGGTAATAGCCGCTAAAATATGATTTGCGTCCTGACCACTTGAAACGTTAACAAATCCTATAAAGCGTTCATACACTTATAAATTAACTACATATCTTACGCAAATTGATAGTTCTTCTTCCTTATAACACCTAATTAACACATATAATACAAAATAAGTGATGTATTTTAATATTTTAAAAATATTAAAACTAAAAGTATATTAAATAAGACAGTGTAAATGCATATGTTATTACTATAATGAAACTATATTCAATATAAGTAAAAAAAAAAACCTCCAAGAAGTTATTTCATATTACCTTGCTTCATCATACATTATGACAAAAAAACCAACATTAACAATTTGGTATAAAATCGTTTCTTTAATTTCACCAGCACACATTTTTATCAGCTCTTCTTAGAATTTCCAGCTGCTTAAATTAATTTTTTGTAGATAAATATTTTCAAAATCAGGATCATGTTTTGAGAACAGTTTACATAATTTTTTAAAATTACCTTAACATATTCAGTTTGTAATAATAATTGAAACAAATAAAATAATATTGCATATAATTTATAAATAAAAACCTAGAGTCAATTGATTCATTGTGGCCTCTGAAGGCAATTCATTGTTTTCTGAGGTATAAAGCTATGTCTATCAATTGTAGCATATAATTCCGATATTTGGTGATTTGTTGTTGATGAAAAGAACTCATTTTAGTTAATAATGATCTATTTTTTTTATTACTTTTATACTATTGTCATTTTTGTAAGACTAATTAATGAGTTTTAGTAGATTCATGACATTTTAATTTAGAAGAAATCTAAAAAAAAAACTGGTTATCAATAATAGGTAAATTGTCGTCAGGTTATAGATAGTATTTAATTGTTATCCATGAAAATATATTTTTAATTTAATAATAAATATCAAAAAACTAAGAAAAGTACCTACCCTATTAGATAGGTCAAATAAGAATTTAATAGTTAAAATTACTTGCCTTTTTCCAATTAGAAAATTCAGTAATAGTAAAAGTGCTTTCTGCATTTCCATGGCCATTTGAAAAAATGCTGGTAAACAAAGCAAAATACTATATTTTTTTTAGTGCTATACTCAAGCCAATCAAAATGTGTGTTGTAAACTGAGGTGAAAAAACGATTTTGTGTGCCACATTTGGTTTTAGGATAAACCTAAATAATAACAATTAATAATCAAAGAATAGTGTAAATCAATAATAAAGTATTTATAATAAAAAACCCATCTATGGAACATGAAAACACATGTAATGTACCTAGGTCCTAATTTAATGAATTATAAGCATTATACGAAAGATAAATCTAAAAACATATTATGAACTTCTACAGATAACTTTCCAATATTTACAACAGAAAATTAATAAAATTTAGAAGTCAAAGCTAACACTTTTAACTAAATATTAATCAGATCTTTATTATGTGTAGTCGTGTAAGTATTTACAAAGAGTAGATTATAGTATTTATTATGTGTCCATAGACAGTCCATAATCCTCAAATCTAAACGTTGGTAATAATTTAATTGAAAAGTGTAAACTTAAATATAAAATTTAATAATAACGTTAACTGATTAATCAATAATAATAATGGAATAAGTTGGTGATTAGTCAGTTTAAATTGTTTTATATTTACTTACCTTTAAAATAGGTCTCATAGGGCCCGAGTCTATATCCCCAAGATCTGAATCTAAATATTCTAAACTACTCGAAAATTTTGAATTTTTAACTGATAAAGGTTCATCAACAAAATTGTTCACAACATTTTCTGTTTGAGTACAACATGGATCTGGATCATCAATGAGTTGATCATTTTGATTTTGAATATTCACATTGTTTGCAAGTGGAAAATCTTCTTCATTATTGACTTGGCGGAATTAAAAAATATCAAATACTTTTATTTTATTCATTATAAAAAAAAAAAACTATTACACAGTACACTTCAACACTTGTCAATTGACAGTAAGTAATACTAATGAATAATGCGCATTGCATTTTAACAATTAATTTTATCCACATAACTTTTGTCTACATTGTTCGATTTATACTGGGGGTTTTCCCATTCCACAAAGATATATTTTCTTTTCGATAAAATTGTTTATCGCATAGTACAGAATATAGATTATAAATTGATCATAAACCTAATTTGATTTTTCTGTATCTTGGGCATAGAACTAAAAATAAATACATATTGGAAATTAAAACTGACAGTCTGTAATGGCCAATGGGCACGCAGGCGGCTTATAAAAATATCAATACATATAATTTTGTTTTTAGTAGGTATGTATATACTTATAGAATTTCTAGTTATTAAATGGTCCTAATAACTTTAATAAGCTTCCAAATAAATTTATTTTAAAATTGGGGGGGCTATAGATAAAACTGAGAGGGCTAAGCCCCCTCAAGCCTCCCCTAATTGCACCTATGCTTATAAATAAAGTAAGGACTTTCATGCACTAAAAAATCATCAAATATGCTCTAATGCATCAAAAAATTAAAAATATGCGGTTAAATATGCTCTTAAAAAAATTAATATTATTATTATTCACTATCTTTTAACTAGATTTATTTTATTAAATTGATTTGGAATCTTTTTTGAATGTTGGATCCAAATCTTCTAAATTATTATTCTACACCTAATAAAAAAAAAAAGTTATTTTAAAATAATTGTTGAATTATTCTCCAATACTCACCTTACCTAAATTAGAATTGCACTGAATTATTAAACACACGAACGTTTTATAAAAATGCGGTGAATCTTCTAGAACTAATCTAATCTACCCACTGACTATAGATACTTGATACTATCGTTTTTATACCACGTACTATTCGATTTGTATTATAAAAATACAAAAATAGACATAATAAATAAACCATCAAAATATGCACTAAAAGCTTAAAATATGCACTTATAATCAAAAAATATGCCTCTTAAACCAAAAAATGTCCAAATATGCAAAAAACAACACAAAAAACTTTGAGTATTTCATCATAAACGTTATGAAATGTATTTTGTACTTACCGAGCATACGATAAAGTTGACCAGAAAATATATGCAAATTAATGAAAGTTCTTGCTCTACTTATTAAACAATATTGAGTCAAAATTTGAAAAAAATAAAAACGCTACATCACAAATAATATTTTTCTCGATGAAGTGTGAAAATAATATCTAATTATTTTGAATGTAGTCCATTTAAAACATGTTCACATAAAACGGTTTTTAACTATGTTTTACGGTAAATAACAAAATATTCTTCACCGATATATGCTGCTTCCGGTGCTGGTGACCATTCTAGTTGTATCATAATCCCACCCTATCTCTGAAAAAACTATAACCGGCGTGGCGTTACGTTATCTGTACTAATTATTGCGATTCATAGAAACGACAAGAAATAAAATTATTATTTATCATCAATAGGGCTCGGATTTCAATGCATTTGCATCTTTTTTTTTGTAGTGTCTCGCGATGTTTTCCAAACTACAAATATGTTTTAGGTACTCCGTGTTCTAACCACAACAATTTTTTGAATTTTTTTTGCATTTTTAGCAGATTTTATACTTTTTAGAGCATTTTTTAACACTATTAATGCATTTTTTTTATATTTTAGGACATTTTTGACCTATTTCTCGTATTATGACTAAAAAAATTGACCTCATTAAAATATAAATACTATATATAACAGTATTGTACTACGTAATATAATGACTTAGTGAAGGTACTTTAAAAAAAAGATTAATATACATTTAATTAAACCTTAGTAGCCTTCCAGTTGCAATAACTAAGCTATAAATATCAGGATTAGCATTAACAGTCTATAAATATTGTAGCTAAGCTGAAAAATATAAAAAAATTACCAAGTTAAATTAGAAAAAATGTAAATTTAAAATTTGACAACATTTTAAATAAAAATAAAGGCTTTAATCAAATAAAAATTATATGTCAAATAATAGAAGGAGAAGAAGATATTAATCCAAAAATATTATTCCAGAAGACTTAACACCTAACGATATGACATTTTTCAAGTATGCTCCTACCATTTCAGTTGATGTTGTGAGGTCATTTTTAGTATATAAAAACTTATTGGCAGACAACCGTCGATCATTCAAATTTCAAAACTTAAAAGAAATACTAATCGTACAGTGAAATTCAAATATGTGATTTAATTTTTAATTAATTTTTTTTTTGTTGTGTAATGTAAATAAAATTTCATTTTTTACTCAATTTTTAATAATAATTTAAATTTATTTAATAAATAATGCATTTTTTGAAAAGGGATTTTTCGATATTTTTAGAGTATTTAAATCCGAGCTCTAATAATCAATTACTTTACATTTTTTTATTATTAACTATATAGTACAATGCCATAGCCAGGTGATGGGTACTGGGGGCACGTGCCCCCCCCCCCCCCCGAATTTTTTTTTTTATGGGCTTGAACTTTTGTAGTGTATCTATAAATAAATGCATTATACCTAAGTGATTTTATCATTATATTTATATAATACAAACCAATAGGTTAATATTTAATATATTATATTTTGTAATTTGTATAATGTATTCGTAAATGGTATTTTTTTGTTTCATTTTAAGTCGTTCGTAAATCCGAAATCATAATATACTAAAATCAATAAATGTCAAATAGCTATATGATAAACAAGGACTATAGATAAAAATATAAGTCGGGACCCATTTTTATTGTAAAAACTAAACACGATTATAAGTACAATACCAAGAATTCATGAACCAAGTTTATCAATTATCAGTTTATAAAACAGTGCAGTTATTAATAGCCTCGAACTATAGCGGTCAGACGTAATTATAGTCGGTTTCACGAAAAGTGGCCATCGACGGTGTCATGTCTGGTCATTGGCGCGACTAGGTCTAAAATATTAGAGGAGGGGGCTCAAGCCCTACAAATAAATTTAGTCAATGTGAGCCATGGGGGTATTGCGTCCCATACCTCCTATTGCCGCAACCACAGAACAATAATTATTAATTGAAATAAAAACAATCATAAAATATTATTACCATACTATATTATTCAAAATCATGTACCTACTTCTATGTAGTATGTTTTACATAAAATATGACATAATCGATAATCTCATAGATTATAATTCGTAATTTACATATTAAGATTTATCCGTCTACTTTTATTATTAGCTATAAAATGTTCTGAGATAGTATCACTATCTATGTTATTATTTAAGTCTCTTTCAATGCAAAGATTAATTTGAAAAA